CACGTGTCCTCGCCCCCTGGACGGGGCGGGGCCTCCCCGGTGACCACCCCCGCCCCGGGACCGCGCCCGCGCCTCACGTGGCCGCGGCGGGCGGGGCCGCCCCTCCTCTTCCTCCCGCCGAGCCCGCCCCGCGCCGAGCGCCCGCGCGGAGCCCGGGAGCCCCGGGGACCCAGCCGTGCCGTGCCTGGGGCGCCCTGCCCGCAGTCGTCCCAGCCCCCGCCGCGGCCGCGCGCCCCCGGTAAGTTCGCGTGATCCCCGGGGAAACTGAGTCTGGGAGAGGCGCGGTACTCGGGCTGGGGCGCGAGGCCCCCCGGCCGCCGCAGAGCCGGGTGGGGCCGGGGTGGTCGGCGGGCGGCCCCACCCCGCCCCGTGGCCACATCCTGGCTGCGAATCAGCCACAGTTGGGAAAATCAACTTCAACTTGGCCGCCGCGCCCGCACCGCGCCCAGACCGCGAGTTCCTCTGCGCACGCCCCTGCCAGGCGCCAGAGTCGCGGGCGTTTCCCCTGGGTGCGGCCTGGACTGGCCAGGAGTGGCCGGGACCCACAGGTCAGAACAGCCCACAGCTGCCCCTGGGAAGTCTTGGTCGCTGTTGGCCCCGTGATCACAGGTTCAGCCACCAGTGACACCTGCGGTTGCAACCTCCGGGTCCACCCCTGGCGCTGCCCAGGGCAGAGACCTCCAGGAATGGACATAGCCGGCCTGGCACTGGGGCCAGGTCTAGTCTGAGACCTCCCACGCCCACCCTGGTCAGTAGCCAGGGGCCTGGACCAGGGGGTGCCTGCACACCCTCTCCCCACCCAGCAGACCTGGGTCGGGTGGGAGCAGACACTCCCTGGTGTGGGGGTCTGACTGGCTGCACCCCCGACCTCCTGGGGCTCACACCCAGCTGGATGGCGGGCAGGACAGTGGATGGGGCACACTCCCCTGGGGTAAGGCCAGCAGGGGCCAAAGGTCACCACTGGGGACAGCTCCAGCCAGGGCTGGAGGTGCAGGCCTGAGCCCACCCTGCCACCCCCATCGGATAGGAACGGTCCCTGAGTGCCCCTTCCTCGGGCCCCCTATGAGTGTCCTCAGCTGGGCGCCGGCGGGGTCTGAGAGCTCAGCATGGTGGGCAGCAGGAGCCCAGGACACCCTCCAGGGGCCGCCCAGGCTTGGCCATGCTCCGTCCTAGGCACATGCCAGGCTCTGGGCCGGGCTTCCCGCCCCCTCTGTGCCTACCGCACCGCGTCCTGGCACCACCACTCCACTGACAGGAGCCTTTGTCCTGCTCCTGTCCCGACTGGGCATCCACACACACCAGCACAGGCACAGGCCCTCCTGGCTGCCCTGGACGGGTGCCACCCCCAGCAGCACCTGAAGACTCAGCCATCGGGGCAGGGCCAGGTCTGCTCCTTGGCCACCGTGCCCTGCCCCCCACATTCCCCCATGGCCTTCCCTGGGTGTGGGAAGGACAGGGCACAGTGGGAGAGGCCCAGAGGAACCAGGCAGGGATGCCTACCCATGTCCATTCCTGAAGGTCTAGCTGACCTGGAAGGCTGGCCCTGGGCAGCCTTCCTGTGGGGCACAGCCAGCACTGCCAGGTACTCCCCTCCTGCAGGGGAGGCCAGCGGGGCGACCCCTGGAGAGGCAGGGGCAGACTCCCACAATCCCAGGCCTGACACAAGGCCCAGTCTTGGCGCCTGACCCTGGCCAGCTGTATAAGCGGCCTCAGCATCCCTGTCTGTGCTGACATCCTGGGATGTGGCCTGAGCCCAGCCCCCTCTCCCATCTGTGTCCCTGCTCCATGCACAGCTTGGCACTGCTGCTTGCACTGCCCCAGGAGGCCCTCAGCTGCTCCTCCCCCGGCCCCTCTGTCTCCCTGGGACACGGGTGTGCAAGGCCTAGGGACACCCCCTTCGAGCTGCCCAGGCTGGGGAGCTGCCTCTAGGAGGTGAGAAGGGTCCTCGTGCGGAGTGAGGGGACGTGATGGCTACTTCCAGAGAAAAACACTGAGCCAGGCGAGGCTGTAGCCATGTGAGCAGCGAGCTCGCCCGGTTGGACCAGCCGAGCTCTGGGCCGCTGCCTGGGGGCAGGGCGGCCAAGAGGTGTCCTCGAGGCTAGGAGGGGCTCAGCTGCTGTGGTGGCTGGCTCAGTGGTTCCTTCAGCCTGCCGCAGGCTGGGATCCACCCACTGCAGCTTGGGGGTGGTGCCCGTGGGCTGTCTGTGGGTGCAGGCCCGCCTCCTGAGTCCGGGCTACCCTCAGCCCTCCCTACCTTCCCTCTTCCCTTTCCCCTGGAGCTGGAGGTGAGGGGGAGCTGACACCCTGAGGTCAGGCCTGGAACCCCACTCCAGAGAGGGTCCTAGCGGAAGGACCACTGCTCTCCTCACCTGGCACAGCCCCTGCAGGCAGAACAGTGACCAGGGCCTGGGCTGGCACAGACCAGCTGGGGTCGGTGGCCTGCCACTGGACCTAAAGCCCCTGAGCCACTTGTTTGGCACACACAGAACCAGCTGCTGTCCTAGCAGAGCACCCCATAAGTGCCCGCTGGTATCCGAGCAGAGTGCCCCATAAATGCCTGCTGGTGTCCCAACAGCACGCCCTGTAAGTGTCCGGTGGGCTTCAGCTGTTGTCACCATCCCCCATGGCCCTGGAGGGCCCCGGCTGCAGGAAACAAGCCCAGCTGGGGGATGGCACCAGAGTGGGACCCCATGGAGTGGTCTAGGGGAGGTTGAAGGAGGGCTGGCATCTCCCCTCCCCATGGGGCCTTCCCCTGGAGCAGCACCAGGGCACTTCCTGTTTACTCTTTGTGCCTGAGCACAGAGCCTGGCAGGTGGAAAAGTCATGGTGTATGGTGGAGATTCTGTGCACCTCCAGCTTCCTGTCTTTGTTTTATTTGCTTATTTGAAAGGCAGAGTTAATAGAGACAGGGAGAGAGGTCTTCCATCTACCAGGTGGCCAGGACTGGACCAGGCCACAGCCAGGAACCAAGAGCTCTCTCCGCATCTCCCACGTGGGTACAGGGGAGCAGCTGGGACGTGAACCAGCAACCACCTGACTGGAACCACCATGGTCTGGTGCTCTTCTTGTCCCCACGGGAGTTGAAGTGAGGCCCCCAGAAGCTGCGCCTGCAGGAGGCTGGGGCCCCAAGCACTCTCGGGACATGAGATGGGCTGGGGGACAGTGAGCACCGACAGTGAAGCCCTGCCATTGCTGCCTCCCAGGCACGGGACTCTGACCTGGAGAGCCTGCGGCAAACGGGGCCATGGCCTGTGGGGGGTGCGAGGGACAGATTCTGGTTGGGAGGGAAGGGCCTAGAGCCCAGGGAGCTGAGCCGCCCTGGCCCAGGGAGCTGCCAGGGACACGCGTGTTTCCGGAGACACCAGCGTTGCCAGGCAGTGAGAAATTGGGCACTTGGCAGAACTAAAAATACTTGGAGGCTCCCTGTCTCCCGACTGCGGAATCCTGCTCCGCCCCTGTGCCTCCTGTGCAACCCTTGCTACCTCCAGCCTTCCGCCCCCGCCCGCCAGTGTGGACGCTGGCAAGGCCCGCCCGGAGCCAGTTCCCACCGAGGCCTGGGCCTCTCACTGGACCCTCCTGCCCAGCAGCCTACCCTGGGGCTGCCTCCAGCCGCCCAGCAGGGATGGTCCAGTGGCCTGAGGGCTGCAGGGCGGGCTTTTCAGCCTTGCCCCTGCCTCCTCTCCACTCTCAGCTGACCACGTGACCAGGCAGGTGGGTGGCGGCTTCCCTGCCTGAGTCAGCATTGCCGACAGGACAGGCGTGGGCACCGGGCTAGCCCGACACCAGCGCAGGAGGGCCCACGCTGCTGGGCAGGAGGTCAGGAGGCTGGGCAGACCACGTCCTCCCCTGCGGTCTGGGCGTGCTGAGGTGGGGCCCTCACAGTGCAGCCCCTAGTGTGTTGGCAGGACTTGGTGGTCAGGGAAGCTTCTGCTTGAGTCCTTAGCTGTTCCAGGGCTGGGTCTGTCTGAATCACAGGTTCTTGCTCATACCCCAGTGATCACTTCCTGCAGAGCACTCCCTGGAGGGACACTGGGGAGGCCACAGCCCAGGGCGTTGCTCTGCAGCCTCACTCCCAGACCTGGGCAGGGCACTGCTGGACTGGACTGCTTGTGGGAATGTGGGAGCTGCTGGGGACACGGAGCTCCCCCTCCCCAGATGTGGAGCCCACATTAGGCTCCCCAAGATCTCTCGGCTAAGCCCCCTCCCACCTGGCAACAGGCATGCTATGGCTTGTGTGTTTCCTGCAGAGTGCTACTGGACTGGGGCGACAGGGACAGGCCACCAGCCAGGAGGGGGACAGGCCATCAGCCAGGAGGGGGACAGGCCACCAGCCAGGACGGGGACAGGCCACCAGCTAGGAGAGGGACAGGCCACCAGCCAGGAGGGAGACAGGCCACCAGCTAGGAGAGGGGACAGGCCACCAGCCAGGAGGGAGACAGGCAACCAGCTAGGAGAGGGGACAGGCCACCAGCCAGGATGGGGACAGGCCACCAGCTAGGAGAGGGGGCAGGCCACCAGCCAGGAGGGAGACAGGCCACCAGCCAGGAGGGGGACAGGCCACCAGCCAGGAGAGGGGACAGGCCACCAGCCAGGACGGGGGCAGGCCACCACCCAGGACGGGGACAGGCCACCAGCCAGGAGGGAGACAGGCCATGCCAAGGGGACCAGGACTCAGGCCAAGGGAGGCGGGGTAGGGGGAACAGCAGCCCTGGCGGCCTCTCCAGGCAGCACGAGAAGGGTGGGCCAGGTAGAGGGTTCCGCCTGCCTCTTCCCCACTGCCCAGCGGGGCCTTTTTTTTAGTTTATTTTTTTTTCCTTAGGAGCACAGACAGCCTGCTCAGGCCAGACCCTGGCAGCAGCGGCTGTGCTCAACTAGCACCATGAGTAGTAGCTGGCCAGGCCCAGGGTGGGTGGCAGGGGCACATCTGGGTGAGTGGATGGAGGGGTCCCGGGATAGGGAGTCCCTGGGGTCAAGGGCAGGGCTTGGGGCTCTGGCCCAGGCTGCCAGCCCCTCCACCCAGCATGGCCATAGCATGCCCACAGCCTTCCGGGTCCTCTCAGCAGCCTGAGGCTTGGATGGGACCCACGGTGTGGCCAGAGGCTGCTAGCTAGGCCTGGGCTGGGCCCCCACACGGGGCAGGGCAGAGTTGGCTCTAGGACACAGGGTAAAGGCAAGAAACCCTGGGACCCAGAGATACAGCACAGCCCCTCTGCTCAACCCACAGGCAGGTGCAGGCAGTGCAAGAAGCCAGTCGGGCCAGGGTCTGTGGGGCTCTGCCTTTCTGGGCAGCAGAATGCCCTGCCTCCCTCCTGTGGGGTGTGAGTGGCAAGGAGCAGGGGGCCCAGTCCTACCCTACCCCCTCAGTGCCTCTGCAGCACTGCCTACCAGGTCCTCAGAGGCTAAATTTGAGATTTAAGCTGCACATGGCCTCAGGGAGCTGGGATGTCCCTGACCTTTGAGGCCAGTCCCCAGGGAGTTCCTGCAGGATGGGAGATCAGCGGGGTGGGGCCTATGGGAGGCTCCACCCCCCTATCCTGGCTGCTGCTCTGGGAGAACAGGAGACTCATGGAGCTGGCCAGCCTGCCCTCCGTGCTGGGGTCCAGCTGGTCTGTGTCCCCCTTCCTGTGCCTGGCGGGGCTGTTCCCAACTTGGGTGGACAGCAGAAGTCTCATGACGTGGCCACCCTTGCTTCCTGCGCTGTGGGTCCTGGTCCCCATGCTATGGGCAGCCCAGGAAGTGCCTGAAGGGGCGATAAGGAGGCCCGGGCCACCATCTTGTCACCAAGTCGTTCCTGGCTCCCCCAGGTCCTGAGTGTATGGGGCTGGACACATCCCTGTGCCAGACTCTTGGCTCTGCACCTGCACCCTGTCTTGGCTCTGAGCTCCACGGCCGTCTACTAGGGACAGGGTGTGGGACACTGAGGACTCAGCAGGGGTGGGGGACAGTCTCCATCTGGGCTTGGACTAACATCCTCCTGCGGTCCCACAGCTCAGCAAGATGTCGGAGAAGGAGGGTGCCCAGCGCAAGTGGGCGGCACTGAAAGAGCGCCTGGGGCCGCAGGACTCGGACCCGACCGAGGCCAACCTGGAGAATGCCGACCCCGAGCTGTGCATCCGGCTGCTGCAGATGCCCTCGGTGGTCAACTACTCGGGGCTGCGCAAGCGGCTGGAGAGCAGCGATGGCCTCTGGATGGTGCAGTTCCTGGAGCAGAGCGGCCTGGACCTGCTGCTGGAGGCCCTGGCACGCCTGTCAGGCCGCGGCGTGGCCCGCATCGCTGATGCTCTGCTACAGCTCACCTGTGTCAGCTGCGTGCGTGCCGTCATGAACTCGCAGCAGGGCCTGCGGTACATCCTCAGCAACCAGGCCTACGTGCGCCAGCTGTCCCAGGGTGAGGGGCCCCTCTGCAGTCTCCCCATCCTGGGGAGCTTCACCAGGACCAGGACTCTGGGGCTGGCTGGGGGACAGGGCTTGTGGATGTGGACAGGTGCCAGAGTGAGTAACTGAGCCAGAAGTGGCCTCGTGTGTCCTGGTCAGGACGCAGGCTGGCCTGCAGGACAGCGGAGGGTGGAGGGCTAGGTCAGCAGACACCCCCTCCCCCACCAGAGCCCAGGGCGGGGTTGCTAGCATCCAGAGGGCCCCCACCCCATGCATCTGCTGCAGGCCAGGCTAGGCCGCCCCCTGGTGGCTGGCTGTGGGGCCGCACGCCCCTGGTGCACAGGGGAGGCCTGAGACTCACGCCCTGTCCTGGCAGCCTTGGACACCTCCAACGTGATGGTCAAGAAGCAGGTGTTTGAGTTGCTGGCCGCACTGTGCATCTACTCCCCCGAGGGCCACGAGCTCACCTTAGACGCCCTGGACCACTACAAGGTGGGCAGCCCGGCCCAGGCTGTCGATGGGGGGAGAGGATGGCCCTTCTTTGGAGGGTACAGGCTGACCCCGCCCCCCCACAGGTCGTGTGCAACCAGCAGTACCGCTTCAGCGTCATCATGAGCGAGCTGTCGGACAGCGACAACGTGCCCTACGTGGCAACACTGCTCAGCGTGGTTAACGCCATCATCCTGGGCCCCGAGGACCTGCACACCCGTGCCCAGTTGCGAAACGAGTTCATTGGTAACCCTACCCCCTGGCTGTCAGGTACCCTGACCACACCACACCCACCTGCACAGCCTCCCCCTGCCCTGGTAGCCGCCTGTACCTTCTGCCCTGTGAGTGGACGTTTACCCTGGAGTCTGCCCTGTGGGCGGTGGAGGGAGCCGGGTGCCCCTAGCACCACGCATGTCCAGCCCAGGGGCCACGTGCTGAGAGCTGAGGGAAGCAAGAGGCAGAGTGCAGGCAAGCAGTGCGTGCCTGGGCGGCACTAACCTCTGCCTCGTCCCCCACCCCATGCCTCCTGCCCAGGGCTGCACCTGCTGGACGTTCTGACACGACTACGGTGAGTCCCAGCCAGGCCCGTCCTTCTGCCTGCTGCCCTGCAGCCCCGCACTGGAGTGGTCCCCAGGACCCCTCAGCCGAGGATCTGCTCAGGGCCACTTGTGACCCGGGTTCCTGTCCTAGGGTCTGGCTGCAGGCAGGGCTTCACCAGCTGATATGGCCTTGATGGGGGCCTGTGGCCCCTACAGCAGGACCTCCATGGAGCTGCCTGGGGGCTGCTGGGCAGCACCCGAGGCTCAGGCCTTGTCTCTGGCTCTGGCGGCCCCAGGCCCGGCCCCCTGGGTGGGCCCCAGCTCGGTGAGGCCTGAGCAGGGGCTGCTGGGAGCCACAGCTGAGCACACCTGTCCCCCGCTGCTCACACTCCCAGAGACCTGGAGGACGAGGACCTGCTGATCCAACTGGAGGCCTTTGAGGAGGCGAGGGCCGAGGATGAGGACGAGCTGCTGCGCCTGAGTGGCGGTGTGGACATGAGCAGCCACCAGGAGGTGTTTGCCCACCTCTTCCACAAGGTGGGCCTGGCCGGCGCACACCCTCGCCAAGCCACCCTGCCAGGCCACCCCGCCAGGCCCGGCCCCAGTGCCGAGCAGAGGGTCAGGGCGCCACCCCAGGCTCCCTCTGGCCAGCTCTGTCAGGTGGACCCGCAGAGCGGGGGGGCCAAGGCACACGTCAGAATGGGGAACACACGCAGTCCCAACCATCCCCAGGACCAGGCGCGGCAGCCCTAGCTGGGTGCCCGCTGACACCACCCACCCCTCCAGGTGAGCAGCTCCCCGGCGTCCAGCCAGCTGCTGTCTATGCTGCAAGGCCTCCTGCACTTGGAGCCCAGCCACCGCCCCAGCCAGGTGCTGTGGGAGGCCCTCGAGAGGCTCGTGACCCGGGCAGTGCTGCTGGCCAGTGATGGTGAGTGGGTAGGCCGGCCCGCCTGGCGCCCTGGGGGCCCAGCTGCTCACGGCCTCCCTCCCCACCCGGTACAGCTCAGGAGCGCAGCTCTGAGGAGGTGTTGGAGCGCCTACTGTCCACCAAGGGGCGACCTCAGCCGGGAGCCCTGGGCCGGGCCCACAAGAGCATCCAGGCCAACCTGGAGGCCCAGCAGCCAGCAACAGCCCTGAGCTGCCCACCTGTGGCATCACCAGTCCCAAGCTCCACTCCTGTGCCCCTGCCCCACCTCCCAGGTGCTGGGACCACTTGCCCCCCACCACCTCCTCCCCCGCCTCCTCTCCCAGGTCCTGGGACCACTTGCCCCCCACCACCTCCTCCCCCGCCTCCTCTCCCAGGTGCTGGGACCACTTGCCCCCCACCACCTCCTCCCCCGCCTCCTCTCCCAGGTCCTGGGACCACTTACCCCCCACCACCTCCTCCCCCGCCTCCTCTCCCAGGTGCTGGGACCACTTGCCCCCCACCACCTCCTCCCCCGCCTCCTCTCCCAGGTGCTGGGACCACTTGCCCCCCACCACCTCCTCCACTACCCGCTCTCCCAGGTGCTGGGACCACTTGCCCCCCACCACCTCCTCCACTACCCGCTCTCCCAGGTCCACCGCCCCCTCCACCATTGCCATCTATGGGCTGCCCACCCCCACCCCCACTGCCTGGCCCCCCTGGAGTGGACAGGGTAGAAGAAGTCATCGTGTCCCAGGTGGACCACGGCCTGGGCTCCGCCTGGGTCCCCAGCCACCGGCGTGTGCACCCGCCCACACTGCGCATGAAGAAGCTGAACTGGCAAAAGCTGCCGTCCAGCGTAGCCCGAGGTGAGCTTCCCCCGCAGATGCGTGACTGCGTGGCTGAGCCCTGCTCTTCAGTAGGCTCTTTGGGGCCTGCTGACATGCTGGGCACGGCTTAGGCTACTTTGCCGGGTGCACAATAAGTGCCTTGTGTGCCCCTCCCCCATAGAGCGCAATTCCATGTGGGCAACGCTGAGTGGCCCAGGCGTGGCCGTGGTGGAGCCCGACTTCCCCAGCATCGAGCGGCTCTTCTCCTTCCCGACTGCCAAGCCCCAGGAACGACCAGCCGCCCCAGCCCGGAAGGAGCCCCGGGAGGTAAGACCAGGAGCAGGGAGCAGGGGGCAGGGGGCGGGGCAGGGGGCAAGGGCAGAGAGGGCTAAAGACGGGGGGGGGGCAGGAGCAGGGAGGACCAGGGCCAGGGGGGCCAGGAGCAGGGAGGACCAGGGGCAGGAGCAGGGAGGGCCAGGGGCCAGGGGGGCCAGGAACAGGGAGAGCCAGAGCCAGGTAGGCCAGGAGCAGGGGGAAGGGGCCGGGGGCAGGGGGGCCAGGAGCAGGGAGAACCAGGGCCAGGGGCAGGAGCAAGGAGGACCATGGCCAGGGGGGCCAGGAGCAAGGAGGACCATGGCCAGGGGGGCCAGGAGCAAGGAGGACCAGGGCCAGGGAGGCCAGGAGCAGGGAGGGCCCGGGGACAGGGAGAAGGGGGTGGGGGGCCAGGAGCAGGTGGCCCAGGGACAAGGCAGACCAAGGGTGGGGTGGGCCGGAGGCAGTGTGGGCCAGGGGCAGGGCAGCGGCTGAGGTGCGTAGGGGTGGTGAGGGAGGGATGCTGGGGCAGGAGTGGGGTGCATGGGGTCTGGTGTGGCCAGGGCAGCACCATGCCATGCCACCTGTGTGCCAACCCACGGCGGGACTTCCCTAGGTCACCTTTCTGGACTCCAGGAAGAGCCTGAACCTGAACATTTTCCTGAAGCAGTTTAAGTGGTGGGTGCCGTCCCAGGGAGGGCCCCCACGCCCTGGTTTCCTTGTTGCCCCGCCAGGAAACCGAGCCCTCCTTGAGCCCATATACCACCCCTAGTCCTCCCCTGTGGTTGTCTGGGCCCTGGGCCCTGCCAGGGAGTGAGCTCTGCCTGCTAGCAGCCCTGGATGGCAGGTGCCCTCCTGGGCAGAGTTGGCACCTCAGTGCTGTGCCAGCCCTGCCCAATGATCCAATGGCCAGGTCTCAGGGGTGGGAAGCGTATACCCACCATTCCCTGCCCTGCCCTCTCGCCCCTGCAGCTCCAACGAGGAGGTCGCAGCCCTGATCCGGGCTGGGGACACCTCGCGGTTTGACACAGAGGTGCTCAAACAGCTCCTGAAACTACTCCCAGAGAAGCACGAGGTGAGGCCAGCCAGCCGCGTCCTGGGTGCTCCTGCCAAGCTGCCCCAAGCTGGGCCTCCCTGGAGCCCACCACGCAGCCCCAGAGTGCTTCCCAGCGAGTCAGGAGCTGCCAGCCAGCCACCCAGGAGACTTCCTGAGGGAGGCGGGAGCTGCCAGCCAGCCAGCCCAGTAGGGCTTCCTGAGGGAGGCGGGAACTGCCAGCCAGCCACCCAGTAGGGCTTCCCGAGGGAGGTGGGAGCTGCCAGCCACCCAGGAGGGCTTTCTGAGGGAGGCAGGAACTGCCAGCCAGCCACCCAGGAGGGCTTCCCGAGGGAGGTGGGAGCTGCCAGCCACCCAGTAGGGCTTCCTGAGGGAGGCGGGAACTGCCAGCCAGCCACCCAGGAGGGCTTCCTGAGGGAGGCGGGAACTGCCTGCCAGCCAGCCACCCAGGAGGGCTTCCCGAGGGAGGTGGGAGCTGCCAGCCACTGAGTCCCCACACTCGGGCCACCTCCCGGCAGATTGAAAATCTGCGGACCTTCACTGAAGAGCAAAGCAAGCTGGCCAGTGCTGACCAGTTCTACCTGCTGCTTCTGGGCATTCCCTGGTGAGAGCCAGGGCGGACAGAGGCCAGCAGGGCAGGGAGGAGCTGGGGTGTGCCCCCAAGGCAGGGTGGGTATGAGGAGTCCTGGGCTGACCCTGCCCCCGCTGTCTCAGCTACCAGCTGCGGGTGGAGTGCATGCTGCTGTGTGAAGGCACGGCTGTGCTGCTGGACATCGTGCTGCCCAAGGCCCAGCTGGTGCTTGCCGCCTGCCAGAGTGAGTAGGGCCCCAGGTGGGGGTAGGGCTGCCAGCACCAGTCATACCCAACACACCTGTGTGGAGCACACGTCCCTGCACACACACGTGGAGCACATGTCCCTGCACACACACGTGGAGCACACGTCCCTGCACACACACGTGGAGCACACGTCCCTGCACACACGTGGAGCACACGTCCCTGCACACACACGTGGAGCACACGTCCCTGCACACACGGAGACACGTCCCTGCACACACGGGAGCACACGTCCCTGCACACACGTGGAGCACACGTCCCTGCACACACACGTGGAGCACACGTCCCTGCACACACGTGGAGCACACGTCCTGCACACGTGGAGCACACGTCCCTGCACACACGTGGAGCACACGTCCCTGCACACACACGTGGAGCACACGTCCCTGCACACACACGGGGAGCACACGTCCCTGCACACACGTGGAGCACACGTCCCTGCACACACATGGAGCACACGTCCCTGCACACACACGGAGCACACATCCCTGCACACACACGTGGAGCACACGTCCCTGCACACACGTGGAGCACACGTCCCTGCACACACGTGGAGCACACGTCCCTGCACACGTCCCTGCACACACGTGGAGCACACGTCCCTGCACACACACGGAGCACACGTCCCTGCACACACACGTGGAGCACACGTCCCTGCACACACACGGAGCACACGTCCCTGCACACACGTGGAGCACACGTCCCTGCACACACGTGGAGCACACGTCCCTGCACACACACGTGGAGCACACGTCCCTGCACACACGTGGAGCACACGTCCCTGCACACGTCCCTGCACACACGTGGAGCACACGTCCCTGCACACACACGGAGCACACGTCCCTGCACACACATGTGGAGCACACGTCCCTGCACACACACGGAGCACACGTCCCTGCACACACGTGGAGCACACGTCCCTGCACACACACGTGGAGCACACGTCCCTGCACACACACGGAGCACACGTCCCTGCACACACGTGGAGCACACGTCCCTGCACACACACGTGGAGCACACGTCCCTGCACACACACGGAGCACACGTCCCTGCACACGTCCCTGCACACACGTGGAGCACACGTCCCTGCACACACACGGAGCACACGTCCCTGCACACACACGTGGAGCACACGTCCCTGCACACACACGGAGTACACGTCCCTGCACACACGTGGAGCACACGTCCCTGCACACACATGTGGAGCACATGTCCCTGCACACGCTTGTGAGGCCCACACATGCACACAGCGATCCATGAGCTGGCCCATGTACATGCAGGCAGCTGTATTCATGCAGGATGCACACACAGCCATCTTCACACATGCACACATGTGCTCACTGTCTCTGAGGCATCAGCAGGGACATGGGCAGGTTTGGACCAGCTGGGCTGGGCACACAACGTAGCAATGTCCCTTCCCCCTGGGCTCTCCCTGGGTTGTGGTGGGGAGCACGGCCAGACCCCTGTGCCCACCCCCAGGCCTGCTCTCCAGCACCCAGCTGCCTGTCTTCTGCCAGCTCATCCTGAGTATTGGGAACTTCCTCAACTACGTGAGTCAGGGGCCTGTGGGGTGACCCTTGGGCTGCCAGCCTTGGTGCCAGGGAGGACCACATGCTGCCTGTCCCTTCTGCTAGGGCAGCCACACAGGGGACGCAGACGGCTTCAAGATCAACACCCTACTCAAGCTCACTGAGACCAAGTCCCAGCAGGGCCGAGTGACACTGCTGCACCATGTGCTGGAGGTGCCCGCCTGATGCCTCTTCCAGGATGGGGCACCAGTGCCCTCCCTGGGAGCCCTCTCCCAAACTGTCCCTCCGTGGAACCAGCCCTGGGGTTCAGAACTCCTGGGCTCAGAACCCAGGGCTGGGTTAGAGGTGGAGCTGGGGGTTAGAGAGGGGCTGGGGGACAGAGCTCCAGGGCGGGAAACAGAGCTGACTGTGGCTGAGTCTGACTGCATCCGCCCCTTGACAGGAGGTGGAAATGACCCATCCGGATCTTCTACAGCTACCACAGGACCTGGAGCAGCCGTCCGAAGCTGCAGGGTAGGGGCCTGCCATCCCATGCCCCTAAGGGCTGACTTCACAGCCCCCACCTCCTGCAGGGTCCACTCCGGCTTTCTGGGTGCTACACCCACATGAGAAGGTCCTTTGCCCGGGGAGTGCTACGCTCAGGATTGGGGGGCTGTGCGGGATGGTCAGCTGCTCCCAGAGGCAGCTGGGGTACGGGGTGGGGCCCCTCATCCCTGTTGGTTCTCCGGTGCCCTGCAGTATAAATCTGGAGGCCATCCGCTCCGAGGCCAGCGCCAATCTGAAGAAGCTGCGTGAGGCCGAGCACAAAGTAGCGGCCTCGGTGGCAGAGGTGCAGGAGCAGTACCTGGAGCGGCTGCAGGCAAGGGGGCGCGGGGCGGGGCCTGGGGCGAGGGGCGGGGCCCGAAGTCTGGCCTGTGGGGCAGGGCCTGGGCGCTGGGCGGGGATTTGGGTGGGGCCTGGGCGTTGGGCAGGGAGTTGGGTGGGGCCTGGGTGCTGGGCGGGGCCTATGGGCAGGGAGTTGGGTGGGGCCTGGGTGCTGGGCGGGGCCTATGGGCAGGGAGTTGGGTGGGCGCTGGGCGGGGCCTAGGGCGAGGGGCGGGGCCCGAGGGTGGGGCTGCGGGTGGCCCCGCCCCTGCCTTGCCCTGGCCTGGCGGGGCTGTGACGTGCTCCTGCCTGCAGGCCAGCCTCGCTGCCTCACAGGCGCTGGAGGACGTGTTCGACACCATCGAGCGGCGGAAGCTGGAGCTGGCCGAGTACCTGTGTGAGGACCCCCAGCAGCTCTCCCTGGAGGACACCTTCGGCACCATGAAGACCTTCCGGGAGCTCTTCCTGCGCGCGCTGAAGGTGCAGGCAGGGCTGGACGGGGCAGGGCTGGGCAGGGCGAGCCCCGGGGAGCCAGGCGCTGAGGCTGGGCCCGGCCTCACTGGGCGCCCCCCCCACGGTGCTCGCAGGAGAACAAGGCACGCAAGGAGCAGTTGGCCAGGGAGGAGGCACGCAGGCTGCGGGGCGAGGAGGCCAAGCCGGGTGAGGGGCTGTCCCGAGGTGGAGGCGGGCAGGGCCAGGCGTCCCAGGTACTCCCCCAGCGGCTTCCTGAGGCCCCCGGCTCCCCAGCCAGGAGAGGGCCGCCACAGCAGGAGGAGGTGTGTGTCATCGACGCCCTGCTGGCAGACATCAGGAAGGGCTTCCGGCTGCGCAAGACGGCTCGTGGCCGGGGTGACCCCGAGGCCAGCGGCAAGGCAGGCGCCACAGACGCCCCCAGGGCTGCAGCACCTGGTAAGAGCCGCAGCTTCCTTAACAGCCTCCTTCAGGAAGCTCTCCCTGGCTGTGCAGGGATGCCCTCCTCAGCCTGGCCAGGTGCCCAGCTCTCCCTCGTGCGGCCCTGAGGAGGCTCCCAGGCCCGGGACCCGGCAGCCAGCCACACCTGGGGTCCAGCAGGAGCAGAGTGGCAGCGGGAGGCCTGACCCTAATGCGCCCATCCCTGTCCACAGTGGCCACCAGTGACCCCACGCCTGGCCATGTGTGCCCTGAGCCCCCAGGCTGGGACTTGGTGGACGCCCTGAGCTCCAGCCCCCAGCCCCCTGAGGAGGGCGGCCCCCAGCCCCAGGAGCGGCGCTCCTCTTGGTATGTGGATGCCAGCGACTTCCTGCCCACCAGAGACACCCAGAGTCCCCAGCCCCCCGAAGGGGCCTGGCCAGTGACTCTGGGAGACGCTCAAGGCCTGAAGCCCCTCGTCTTCAGTGAGAAGCTCCCCGGGGTGGAGAGCCCCGGGCAGGAAGCCCAGCACCATGCAGGGTCGGGGGGCGACCAGGAGGCCGACAGCACGGGCCAGGGCCCGGGCCTCAGCGCTGGCCGCCCAGCCGCAGACAGCAGTGAGCCTGGGGAAGAGGAGGGCACGGCGCCGGAGTCCGCCCTGGACACATCCCTGGACAAGTCCTTCTCCGAGGAAGCGGTGACAGACTCCTCGGGCTCAGGCCCCCACCCCCGAGCCCCAGGCCGAGCCCCAAAGGGGTCGGGCCGGAGGAAGAAACGGCGCCCTGCTCGGAGCCAGGAAGGTAACTCGGGCCGGGTGGGGCTGGACGTCCCCTCGCAGCCTCTGATGGGGGCGGGGAGGGGTCCCCCAGTTGAGTATGCGTTTCTGTTTGGAAGCAGCTGTGGCGCGCGGCTGCGACGATGGTAAGACAGGCAGGCTGTGTGTGACCCAGTAAGGTAGGTGGGGCTGGCGGGCAGCAAGAGCCTCACTAACTCGCTTTCGTCCGGTCTGCCGGGTGCCCCGGGTGCTGACCTTGCTTCTGTTAACCTGCTGGGCGTTTCAGCAAACACCGGTCTGCTGCTGGCAGCCCCCCTCGCTTGCCTGGCACAGCCTCTGTGCCAGCTCGGGCGCCCAGCAGGTCTGAGCTGACCCACGGGACCTCCTAAGAGCCTGCGGGTCGTGTATATACTGAGAACTTGGGCTGGGGTCTGCCAGGGCCCTTGAGCAGGAAGAGGGGGGCGTCTGGAGTGGCCACCGAGGACAGTGGCTCGTATGTGGCTCTCAGGTGCGAGGTCTGTGCTGGCCTCCCCCGGGGGCCGCTGGAGCGGGCGGCCTCCAGCCCCTGCCTGTCCACTGGACTCCAGCAGGGCGTGGGCGAGAGCCATGAGCCCGGCTGCCTGGCATGCTGCAGCACCTGAGCCAGCCCTGGGCATCTGCAGGCCTCCCGCTGCCCGGGGTTCTTCCCCAGGCGTCATCCCTCCCACGCAGGTCCAGGCTTGGGCTGGCCTGGGCTGGGGCAGGAACTCTGTATCCTGTTGGAGTCACAGGAAGGGGTCGGGACCCTTGTCCCCTAAAGGTGGGGAATCTGACATCCCTACCTCAACACGCAGACTGTCCCCCCACTTCTGGGTTGTGTGAGCCTGGGGTTGGAACCTCACGTGTGCTAAGTCTGTGAGCTGGTCAGCTGTGTGCGTGCTGAGCTGACTCCTGTACCTGCTGCCCTCCCCCACCGTGGTGTCCACACAAGCCCAGCACCTAGTTGCTCTGCTTGGTGCCTTTTTGCTCAAGTTGCTCTCGCTTTGGCCTCCTGCTGGCACTGACCCCAGCCTACTGTGTCCCTCCTGGGAACCTGTGCGGGAAGGCCATGGGGACAGGCCCCAAGGAGGCTGAATAAGTGCCGAGCTGGGGACGAGACCAGCAAGGCCAGATTTGGCCAGGGGCAGGGGCAGAAGAGGGGGTGTGGAGTCCTGGGGGTAGCGGGGCACACCATTGTGGCCCCAGAGGAAGAACCAAGGGTCCCAAACAGTGAGGGGCGGCTCCTGACCAGGCCCCGTCCCCTCTCTCTGTGTCCCTGCAGGACTCAGGCCCAAACCCAGAGCCAAGTAACAACATGCGCTGCCAAGCAACGCCTGGGTCCAGGCTGGGACTGGCCCCCCGGAGCCCGACACCCAGGCCACCTCGGGGCAGCATGGCCAGGACCCCCGAGCACCACCTGCACACACCTGGCCTCCGAGGCCTGCTTTGCACCCAGTGAGGTCCATAGCTGTGGGGCTGGGGCCACGTGGTCAGCGCCCCCACCCCTGCCCTACCCAGGCCTGCCTCCTGCCATGCTGCTGTTTAGTGCAACACATTCCTGCCACTGGCAGACCCACACGCCCTTGGATGGGAAGGGCTCTGCCTGCGGCCAGGATGTGGCCACATCACAGCGGCCCCTCCCTCCCTGGGGCAAGAGTAGCCTGTCCCGCCCCCAGCTGTGCCCTCAGTCCCAGTGCGTGCTGCCAGAACAATAAAGCCAAGCCTGTGTCCAGGCTGGGGGAGTCAGTGCTTCGAGGGAGATGGGCAGCCTGGCCACTCCAGGTGAGGGCAGGGCTGGGATGGCATCAGCTGGGTTCTCCCTGACCACAGCCAGTGCAGGCCAGAGGCCCTGGGAGGAGTGCCCTGAGGGTAACAGGGGGCCCGGCAGCACCAGGACCCGTGGTCAGCAGCCCCAAGCCCTCTCCATTCTGTACTGGGCCCCGCTCTGCGATAGGGTCCCCACTATGTCCCCAGCTCTCCTGCCTAGTGCACCAGGCAGCCTGGGATTGGGAGCGTCTCAGTCAGGCTGGTCCTGGACCAGGCCAGTGTTGAAGCTCTCATAGAACCACTCAAGTCACGTGTGTGCCGTGTCACTGGCTCAAAAATAGCTCAGGTGCGGGTGGATGTTGGCTGGCCAGCAAGAGCCCGGCCCCAGCACAGCACCCGGATTCAGTTCCTACCTGACAGGTGTGATTTCCCAGGGCCTGGTCCTCACTGCTCATTGGGCTAAGTTGTGCTTGCCACTATTGGTGGCCAGCCTGTTAGCCACCATGTCCAAGTGCCCAGGGAGGTGTGGCATAGCAGACAGAGCCCACCTGCTGGACCACATGGCTGCAGCCACACAGGGCAGCTATGCACTGCCCATAGGTGGGGGCCCTGGGTGGCAGGGAGGAGGGAACAGGGGTAATTCTAATTCCGGCTGACTGGGCCATGTGACTAGGGCCAGCGGGTGGGGCCATTTTTAGAAAAGTTCCCTTCTCTGCTTGGATGGGCTATTTATAGGGCCAGGCTGGCCTGGCACCCTGCAGAGCAGTGGAGAGTTCCCCACCCCCAGCTGGTCACAGGGAGGACTCCGAGCCAGGGCTCCTCCTCTCCCAGGGGACAGGGCCACAGCCCTGATGGAGACAGACCTCCCATGAGTCCCTGGCTGCTCCTGGACACCTGTTCCACCAGGCCCTCCCTGGACCTGGGCCAGGCTCTACCCCCACCCAGCAGCCAGGGCACCTTACCTATGGAGGCCACAGCTGCTGGTGCAGCCCCCAGCTGCCCCCCAAGGCTGGGCCTTGCGATGTCGGCGTGCAGTGGCTTGTGGGTACAGAAACGGTCAGAGCCCAGCAGAGGGGTAGCTGCATCATCCGGGGCACAACGATACCCCCCTGCTGCCCTTTGGTCCACAAGCACCCTGTGCTGTGGGCAGCAAGCCCACTCCCTCACTGGACAGCAGGGTCTGTCTGGATGACAGTACAGGGGCTCACTCCGGCTGCAGGCCCCAGGCATGGAAAGCCTCAGCGAGCTGTCTCCCAGACCTGCCTGAGGCTGGCACAGAGCCACCCTGCCCTCTGGCAGCCACAGGCCAGCCTGTTTCGCCTTAGTAGGGTGCTGGAAGGGGTGGGAGATGGGGCTGCCACATCCCTGGGAATCGTGCAGGAGCAGGTGCTGGCACCTCAGGCCTGGGCCGCTTGGAGCTGGAGCCAGGACTGGCAGCGCGGGGGGCTTTGTCCTCTCCTGGGCGCGGCCACCAGAGGACGCGCGCGTCCTCCCAGGGAGCCCGGCACTCATCGCGGGCCAGGTGTCCCCCAAGAACGCACACCCTCCGCTGGGTGGCCAGCGCGCAGTCCCCCGCCCTGTAGGCCCCAACCCCCACCTGAACCTGGCGGTGACGCGCGGTCGTCGCGGACTGGCCCTGACTTCCGGATGCCGAGGGCGGGTGGGCTGTCCGACCACCTGTGCTCGCGCCTCCTCCTCCGGGGTGTCCGCGGCCCCGGGGTGCTGCGCCCGGCCCAGAGGTCACCGCGCGTCACGGCGCCCGCCCCCGCCCCGCCCCGTCCCGCCGGGCCTTTTAATGGCGCGGGCTCCGGGGCGGCCACGCGCAGCGGACGAACCCCAGCCCCGATGTCGGCGCCCCGAGCCTCCAACGACCGGCCCCCGGGCGCGGGCGGCGTCAAGCGGGGTCGGCTGCAGCAGGAGGCGGCGGCCAGCGGCGCCCGCGTGACCGTGGTGCTGGGTGCGCAGTGGGGGGACGAGGGCAAAGGCAAAGTGGTGGACCTGCTGGCCACGGACGCAGACATCGTCAGCCGCTGCCAGGTGCGGCTTGGGGCCCCGGGAACGCCACCCACCTCCCCACGCGACCCCGGGGTCTGCCTCGGGGTCTTCCCAGAGCACCCCCCAACTCCCTGGGCTATGAGCTATGAGCGCTGAGCTGGGGACACCCGATCCCGTGGTGGGGGCAGGGAGGCCGGCTCCTTCGCCATTTGGCAGAGGGATCTGGCCCAGGACTGACTGGCCCCTGGCAAGGGTCAGAGGGTGCCCAAGTGTCAAGGAGGGTCTGGCCAGCCAGGCAGAGGATCCCAGAGCTTATGCCAGGGTGACCAGTGGCTGGGGCGCCCAGGAGGCCACACAGGGCTGTGCCCAGCCTGCTGTGACTGGCACTGACCTAGGTGTTGTCCTGGAGGGCCCTGGCATCTCCAACCAGCTCCAAGCCAGATGGTACAGCCCTGGGATGCCCCCAGCTTCCCAGGAACTTAGGGACTAGTTCTACCTGGAACGGGACCATTGCCAGCCAGCCCTCTCTTCGCGGCCCCACAAGCTCTTCAGCAGCCCCACGGGCCATGCTCTGCTCCTGCTGTATGCCCCCCACCCTACAGCTGCAGTTCCTGTGCCTGGGGACGCCCCACTACCACCACACACCCCTGCCCAGACCCCACAGGCTCTGACAGCCACTGCCAAAGCAGGGCACCCGGCAGCTTGATGCACTAGACTGGGATAGGTCCCTGGTTCCACTATGCAGTGACCAGCAGAGGGCAGAGTAGGCCACCTCTGACCTCCGGGTCAGGCAGTCCTGGGGAACTCCCACTGCTCCTGACAAGCTAGGACCGGGTGCTCCGCGGGTCTCTCAAGGGGCAGGGGGCTGGGGGGCTCGGAGTAGCTGGCACCTGGCACAGCTGCTCAGTGCCTGGACCTCCTGCCCATTCCATGGTGAGGCCAGTGTGGGCTTCAGTGCCCTGCTCTGGCCCCAGCTCAGCCCCACCCTGGGGTCCCGGGCCCCTTGGCTCTGCAAGTCGCTGCCCTCTCCACGCTCCTGGCGCTGGGAGCTCCCTTGCTGTCCCTGGCCCAGGGCAGCTATCGGCTGGGGAGAGCTAACCCCATCCACAGCACCAGCTCCCTCCTGTTCTCTCCCCCTCTGCCTGTCTCCGACACTGCCTGCTGTTCTAGCCTGTGTCACAGCCCAAGGATGGCCATGCTGGGGTCCTAGGCTGCCCCCTCACTTCCCCTGGGTGCCTGGGCCTCTTTCCATATCGTCGCCTGACCCATCTGCTGGTCAGCTCTAGCCTCAGACCCTGCTGAGCCGCTCCTCTGCGAGGGCTGGAGGCTCCCTGCCCAGCAGCTACTCAATGTCCTCAGCCAGGGGCTCTGTGAGGCCAAGTACTCACTGCCCTGGGCAGTGGCTACCCCAAAGCAACTCACCTCTCCGGCTGGACCTGGGGCCTGCCACTGACCTCGGCTGGGGGTTGCAGGGTAGAGGGACCTCTCTGTGGTCCTGGGCTGCTCCAGAGACCACTGAGAGGAGGGTGCGGTTGCCAGGCACTGCTACTAGAAGCCTCCAGGCACGGCACTGGCCTTGGTGAGTCTGGCAGTGAGCAACAGCGCAAGAGGAAGCTGTGCGTGCAGCCAGGGCCACCTCAGGGCTCCACCCCCGGTCAGCCATAAGCTCTTCCGCCTCTGTGGCCCTGAGGCTTGGGACCAGGGGCTGCTGCAGGCGTGGGGGCAACTGCGTGTCTGAAGGTCGCATCCAGGGAGGGTACAGCTCGGAGAAGGGGAAGGCTGTGTGGGAGGAGTGAGCAGCGGGGGTGGGGTGCTCAGGAGACCGTAACATGGCCATGGGGCAGCCGTGGTGGAGGCAGAGAGGGCGGCGAGCTGGGGCCACCGGGGGCAGACCAGGAGCTGGTCTAGTACGCAGTCATGCACATAGGCCAACCCCAGCCTGCCAGGGCCTGCTACCCCTGGAGCCCTCCCCCAGGCAGCATCAGGCACTGGCAGAGGCCGGAGCAGTGGCCACAAGCGGGTTGCCTGGGCACTGGACACACATTCCCAGAGGGCCAGGGGGGCTTGTGGATGCTGGGACATGGGCAGGTGCTGGGCAGGGGTCCTGCCTCAGGCTGGGGGCAGGGCTGGACCTTAGCCACCACCATGATGCAGGCAGCCCCTCTAGAAGGCTCCTGTGGACCTGGCCAACTCCTTGACTTCCCATCCCAGGGAGGGACAGAACAGGGGCCCCACATCCCTCCACCCCTGTGGGCAGGGCCCTGGTTCTGAACTCCCACCCTGCAGGAGTGTCCAGCCAGGTGGCAAGGGAGCCACGTGAGACCCTGGTTCCTCGGGTCACTCAGCGGGGGTTCCCCGCTGTCCACCTACTCCGGATGGCGAGGCATTGCTCCTGAGCTGGTCGGCAGGGGAGGGCAGTCGTGGGAGCACAGCTGGCAGCCTCACCCCGAGGGAGGCATGTGGGAACTGTCCCCAAGGCAGCCACTGACCACATGGGCACCCCCACCACCCCAGAGCAGCGGCCCGTGTTTCCTGCCCCACTTGGGACTGAAGCAGAACAGGAGGGAACAGGGAGGGGCAGGGAGGCTGTGGCCCACACAAGGGCCCAGAGGCAGCCCTGGAAGGGAACCCTGTGTCCTGCCTGAAGCTTGCCACGACCTCAGCCCCTTTGTAGCCACAGCCCCTGCTCAGGCAGGACCAGCTCAGGGCTGTGGGCAGGGCCTCAGCCTGGCCAGCAGGTGCCCCCACAACAGTGGCACAGACTCCATCTGATGACACAGAGCTAAAATTGTGTCCTCTGGAGCCGTGGGCAGCCTTCATGCCAGGCTGGGGCCCGTGGTGACCACAGAAAGGGCTCTCTCCCTCGCCTTCCAAGTGGCCCAGCCCATAGGAGGCCCAGGCAGCTGTCGCATTATGCTCTCCTCCTGCCAGGGGGACCCAAACGGTTTATTTCCAAGTCAGGCCATGGCCCAGCACCAACTGCCCTGCGCTGCCTGACCTCCTGGTGTCACCCCACAGGCTGTCACCCTGGTCTCCCACAGTCAGCCAGCACAGAACGAGGCCCTGGGTCTGGGGTCACCTACTGCTTGCTGGCAGGTATGGCTGCCTGTCCCCAGCCAATGAGTGTGCTGGGCAGGCCTGTCCGTCCACCTGGGCGTTCTGGGCCAGCGGGGCTGACATGTCTTCTGGGCACTGGGAGTGGAAGACAAGGGCTGCAGGGCATTGAGGCCTGTCCATCCCCAGCCATGGCAGCAGCACTTGGTACTTGGAATCTGGCAGCTGGCCAGAGGCGTCCCTGGAGCTCTGCTGTCCACTCCCCTGTAAACTACCCCAGTTTACCCATTTGTTCACAGAGGGTTCATCCAACTGCCCTCAGGAGGCAGCCAGTCAGTTGCTCACCCGCCCCCCATTCCTGCCACCCTGTGAGGCCCCCTCCTGGGAGAGGGCTGGGCTGCGGAGCCCCCGTGGTGTCCACCTCAGCCCCAGGGACTCTGGCAGATGCTGTGGGTCCTGGCTTGGGAGTGCTAGGCTGGTGGAGGACTGGGTCAGGAAGAGACGGCTCACGGACCCCGTGAGGGTCCTTGGTGGGTCACAGATGCCTGCCCTCTCCCTGCACCTGGCCTTCCCAAGGTGCCCCGCGTTGCAGCAAGTAGCTGGCAGCCTGGAGACTTGGTGCTGATGTAGCAGGAGTGGCAGATGGCAGCTGGCTGGCCCTCGTGGGGGGCGATGGAACGTGGGGGACAGCCGGCTGGCCCTCGTGGGGGGCAATGGGATGTGGCTGACATCTGGGGGCCATGCAAGGTGGAGAATCCGGGTGCACCTGGGAAGTTGCCGGAACCACAGAAAGCTGAGTTGAGGTGGCGGGGCCAGGGCCTGGCATTCCATTGTGGCAGGAGATGACACAAGGCTGAGGTACGCAGTGGGCTGACCATGGACAGGCCGTGACACCCAACTGGGCTAGGAGGCCATGGCCAGGCCCCAGCCTTGGCACCTAATGCCAGACACTACCCCTCCCCCTCCTGCAGCCTGGACCCTCAGGGCTCTGGGGCCTCACATTTAGATCCTGAAGGTTATCCGGGAGTGCCCCCGCAGGCCGCCAGGAGTGGGGTTGGTGCCTTCCACCTGCATGGGGCAGCAGAGCCCAGGGACCTCCAGGCTCCTCCCCTGGGCAAGCAGGGGTGGGGGCACAGGTGGGCGGGCCTGCTTGTGGCCCGAGAAATGCCCGCCCTGTGTAGGGCATGAGACCTAGGGGCAGGGTGCATAGGCTCTTGAGAAGCTGAGGGAGGCTGAGTATGGTGGAGCTGCGGTACCCTGCTCACACTTCCTTGAAGGGCTGAGGCCTTTGGTTCTCTCAGCAGAGGCAGCTGGAAGGCAGAGTCCCTGAGTGGTCACCTGCTTAGCCATCTCCTGGAGGCCTTGCCATAGCGTTCTGCCCTGGTCTCCCACCCACTCCTGCCCCACCCCTGCCCCACTCCCGTCCAACCCCTGCCCCATTCCCACCCACTCCTGTCCCACTCCTGCCCCATCCCTGCCCCATTCCCACCCACTCCTGCCCCACCCCTGCCCCATTCCCACCCACTCCTGCCCCACCCCTGCCCCACTCCCACCCACTCCCAGGTTCAGAGTGGGGCAGTCCCCAGGGACTGTACCATCTTCTGTGGGGACACAGCTGACCGCCGAAGATAGCCAGGCTCTGCCCAGGACTCCCAGCTGAACCAGGTTTCTGTTCCTAGGGCGGCAACAATGCTGGCCACACCGTGGTGGTGGACGGCAAGGAGTACGACTTCCACCTGCTGCCGAGCGGCATCATCAACCCCAAGGCTGTGTCATTCATTGGTGAGTGGCTGGCCTCGGTGCTGGACCTCATGGATGCGGCAGGAGGGGCCGGCATCCTAAGTGGGAAGCACCTGCTGCAGTGGGGCTGCCCGTGTGGTGGGGGCAGCACCCTACCTCCTTGCTTGTGTGCCGGGCCAGGGCAACCACTCCCCGCTGGCCAGCGTCTCCCCAGGGCAGAGCACAGTTCTGCTGAGCTGCCCACACTCCACATGTATGCGTGAGAGTACACATGAGCATGTATACTCATACGTGCAAGTATATGCACGTGAGTGTGCCCCAGTGACCAGCACAGTGGAGGGAAGGTCCTGCTTGACTGCCCATACCCATCAAGGTGACACTGTGACCCCTGTGACCTTGTCCCATCCCTCGTGGGCAAATGCAGGCTGCCAGTCATGCTGCTCTTCCCAGTGCACAGCCGGGCCCAGCCTGAGGGGCGAGGACAGCTGAGCAGTGGTCAGCTTGAGAGTCTTCAGAGCCACTCCCTTGGGGCCAGACCCCAGTTCTGGTTTAGCCATCGGCAAGTCTAGCAGTACAACGCACTACCCTGTGGGGCGAGGCGGTTGGTGCCCAGGCTGCAGGGCAGGCAGGGGCAGTTAGGCGCATCCATAGGGGGCAGCCAGCCACAGCTGGCAAGACAGCGTGCACTGCCCTGTCGGGGGGAGGCAGCTGGCAAGGCTGGCAGGGGCAGTGGCTGCTAGGTGCATCAGCAGGGGCAGCCATGCGGTTATTTTGGGACACGTGGCATTTAGTGACCTGGGTGCTCCCTGTTGGCCTCGCCCAGGTACCCTGGGGACAGCAGTAGTATCGGAACAGGGTCCCAGGCACTGCTTGCTAAGGGACCCCAGCCAGCTGCCTCCCTAGGGGCCCGCCCTGCCTGCAAAACTTGAACAAAAACGCGCGGCGGGTCCTCCCCGCCCGGCCCCGCAGGCCTGCCATGCGCATGCGCTGTAAGACTGCCTGCAGGCTCCGCCCTGCGGAATTCCTCTGGTGTCGCCACCCGAGAGGCAAGGAGGAGCGGGTGCCCCGCACCCCAGCCGATGTTCGTCACGCGGAGGAGCCCAGGCATGCGTGCCCTCCTCTGGGGTGCTGCTCACAGGCCAGGATGACCCTGTCCTGGCCGCCTCACCCCCACAGGGCCACCCCCAGCTGGCCACCGCTGACCTTACCCTTGGCCTGTGGCTGGCCAGCACAGGCGCTGGCTTGTTGTTTTTTTGTTTTTCTAAGATTTATTTTATTTTTCTTGGAAAGGCAGATTTACAGAGAAGAAGAGACATAGAGAAAGATCCTCCATTCGCTGCTTCACTCCCCAAGCAGTTACAATGGCCAGAGCTGAGCCAATTCAAAGCCAGGAGCCCAGAGCTTCTTCCAGGTCTCCCATGCAGGTGCAGGGTCCCAAGGCTTTGGGCCATCCTCCCAGGCCACAAGCAGGGAACTAGAAGGGAAGTGGGACTGCCGAGATTAGAACTGGCGCCCATATGGGGTCCTGGTGCATGCAAGATGAGGACTTTAGCCACTTGGCTACCATGGTTTATTTGCGTTCTGGGGTCAGGCAGGACCTGTAAGCTTTGTGCAGGCTTAACAGCCAGAAACAGAAATGTGGTGGGTCCATGGCCAAAGTCATCTCTCCACCCTGCCGGGGGCTGGCTCCTAGCTGCTGGTTCACTCCAGCCTTGGGCCAGCAGGTGATCACTCCATGTGGGGGGCTGTGCCCAGGACTGGGCTGAACTGAGCGTGTCTCATGTGCTATGGCCGGTGTCTGGGGTTCCCACAGGCCTGCATGGCATCTGCTGCTGGTGGCTTCTGGCCTGCTACGGACCACGGCTGCCTCAGAGAGGCCCACAGCACCCAGAGCCCGCCCCGCCCTTGCCACCCAGCAACCACCATCCTGTTGTCGCTCATGGACTGGCATTCTGCTGCCGGCTGCCTTGCTGATGCTCACTGCAGCTCAGCCACGTGGGCACGGGGGACCGGGGTCCCCTGGGGTGGGACGTGCGCACCTGAGGCTGCAGCCTGAGTCCCTCACCCACTCCTGAAGTCTGACCTGTGCTGTGCTGGTCCCATGCACACGCTCCACCGTGCTGCCACCTGTCCCAGGGCTGCCTCTCTTGTTCTGGTTTCTTAAGATGTATGTTGTATGTATTTGAAGGAGACAAGAGCAAGATCTTCCGTCTGTTAGTTCACCCCACAAATGGTCACAGCCGCTGGGGCTGGACAGGTCTGACCAGGAGCTTCAACTGTGTCTCCCACGCAGGGGCCATCAGCGGGAGTTTCCAAGGCTGTGTGCGTGGCCCACTCTGCCACCAGGGTCCCCTGCCGGCTGCTGGCTGTGTTGGTGTGCACATAGCGTTCCCACGTGCGTGGTGCGAGTCCACTTCCTGTGTTCTGTTGCAGGCAATGGGGTGGTGGTCCACCTCCCAGACCTGTTCGAGGAAGCAGAGAAGAACGAGAAGAAAGGTGGGTCAGGGCCCCTGGGAAACGGGTCTCTTGGGTGGTCAGCTGGGGAGCAGCAAGCTGGGCAACTCGGAGGCCCCAAAGCTGTGACTGCAGGTGAGCGCCAGGGCCAGCACGGAGGCAGCGCCGTGGGTCCCCCCCCCAAGTGCAGCAACCCCTGCCTACCTCCCCGTAGGCCTGAAGGACTGGGAGAGAAGACTGATCATCTCAGACCGGGCCCACCTTGGTAAGCACTTGAGGCTGGATGCCCGGCCAGGAGCCACATGCCCGGGGGCCCTGCTGAGTCCCGCCACCATCCGGGAAGCCCAGGCCCAAGGAGGCCTGCTCTGGGCAGGAGCTGGGCGTCTGCCCCTGGCCTGTCCTTCCTCACTCCCCGGCCAGGGCCTGCAGGAGATTCCGTGCAGCAAGCGAGGCTGGCTTACTCCCTTCTGCCTGCCTCTCTCCTACTAACCCTCTGTCCTCCTGCCTCTCCCCTGCTGACCCCCTGGCCCCTCCTCTCCCTTCCCCCTGCCTCTCCCCTGCTGACCCCCTGGCCCCTCCTCTCCCCTCCCCCTGCCTCTCCCCTGCCTCTCCCCTGGCCCCTCCTCTCCCCTCCCCCTGCCTCTCCCTTGCTGACCCCCTGGCCCCTCCTCTCCCCTCCCCCTGCCTCTCCCCTGCTGACCCCCTGGCCCCTCCTCTCCCCTCCCCCTGCCTCTCCCCTGCTGACCCCCTGGCCCCTCCTCTCCCCTCCCCCTGCCTCTCCCCTGCTAACCCTCTGTCCTCTGCTTCTCTCCCGGCCCTGGTGCCCCGCCTGCCCACAGTGTTTGATTTTCACCAGGCAGTGGACGGTCTACAGGAAGTACAGCGCCAGGCACAGGAGGGCAAGAAGTGAGTGAGTGAGGCTCTGCCCCACACTGGCTGGCACAGGGTTGGAGGGCAGCCCGTCCCTTAGGTCCCACACTGTCCTCACTGCCTGAGAGCCCATGCAGGGTCCAAGCCTCAGCTGACAGGCGGACCCGTATCCTCCTGAAGATGCTGTTAGGTCGTCATGTGCCCGGGACTTGGGAGTGAAACAGGGGGTTCACACCCACATGCAGAGGCACCCCAATGTGCACCTTCACCCCACACACCCACACACAAGCGGCCATGGTGAGCATCTGGTGGCCTCTGCAGACCCTGGGCTCTGCCAGGCAGAACAGGGCCGTGTGTCCAGAGGGAAGCCAAGACATACACACAGCAGGAGGAGCCTGGGGTCCTCCCAGGCCCCCAGGAGCCACCTCGATGTCACCCACTCAGGCCTGGGCTTACAGAGAGACCCTGGGCCCAGCCTGACAGGCACATGTCCCCACTCATAGCATTGGCACCACCAAGAAGGGCATCGGCCCCACATATTCCTCCAAGGCAGCTCGGACCGGCCTGCGCATCTGTGACCTCCTGGCAGACTTTGAAGAGTTTTCTAGCAGGTATCCAAGCTGTGCAGTCCCGGGGTCCTGCAGGGTCATGGCACCTGGCGTGGCCCATGGGGGCTGACGGGGTTTTCCCCCTGCAGGTTCAAGAACCTGGCAGCCCAGCACCAGTCCATGTTCCCAACCCTGGAAATAGATGTGGAAGGCCAGCTGAGACGGCTCAAGGTGAGGGGGCATGGTGGCCACAGGGCCTTGCGAGGCACCTACCCCAGCAGCCCCCTCACTGTGCACCTGGCCCACAGGGCTTGGCCGAGCGTGTCCGCCCCATGGTCCGTGATGGGGTCTACTTCATGTACGAGGCCCTCCACGGGCCACCCAAGAAGATTCTGGTGGAAGGCGCCAACGCAGCTCTGCTGGATATCGACTTTGGTGCGTGGCCAGGGTCTCTGTCCCATGTACCCCGTCACCCTGTTGGAGTGCAGCCATTGGAGCCGGCCCTGTCAGCCCATGTGTCCTGTCACCCCTTCCTCCCCCATCACCTCATTTCCCCTTTTCCCCCATAACCTTGTCACCCCATCTCTCCATCACCCCCATCCGCCCCCGTCACCCTTATCTCTCTCTGTCACCCCCATCTGCCCTCAGTCACCCCTTCTTCCCCGTCACCCCCATCTCCCCATCACCCTATCTCCCCATCACCCCTTCCACCGCTTGTCACCCTCATCAGTCAGGACTCTGGCAGGAGTGCAGCCCCGGCTTTCCCAGCCCTGCAACGAGAGGAGTAGGGCAGGGGCTGGGCTAGATAGGGACCAGACAGGGCAGGAGTCTCTGCCCCCAGGCCCAGAAGCACCCTAATTCACCCTGGTTCCTAGGGCGCAGCCACTACAACCCCAGTCGGGATCACCTCCCCCTCACCTTGCCAGCCCCAGGCACCTGAATGAGCCGTGGAGCTGAGCTACCACCCTCTTCTGCAGGGACCTACCCCTTCGTGACCTCCTCCAACTGCACGGTGGGTGGTGTGTGCACTGGTCTGGGCATCCCGCCCCAGAACATCGGTGATGTGTATGGCGTGGTCAAAGCCTACACCACCCGTGTGGGCATCGGGGCTTTCCCCACCGAGCAGACGAACGTGAGTGACCTGCACTGCCTCACCCGTGCCAGCCTCCCCCGTGCAGGCTAGGGAGGGCTGTGGGCCATGTCCAAGCAAGCTCACCTGAGTGCCCGCCTGCCCCGGGGGCTACCTCCCAGCCCTCAGCACGGTCTATGGGGGGCGGTTCACGGACCCCCAGGTCTGCTCAGGAGGACGTCCAGTGCTGAGAGCGGTCAGGCCCCGCTTTGTCCCTCCTGGGCCCAGCCAGGGCCTCAGTAGGGCAAGGCAGGGGAGGAAGGAGACACTGCGCACAGGCTGGCCCTGGACCCGCCTCCATCCTCACCTAGGAGACCGGGGACTTGCTGCAGACCCGCGGCCACGAGTGGGGGGTGACCACAGGCAGGAAGAGGCGCTGCGGCTGGCTGGACCTTGTGATCCTGAGATACGCCCACATGGTCAACGGGTTCACTGCGTAAGCCACGCCTGCCCAGCACCACCCGCAGGGTCCCGCTCCTGCCGGCCCCCAGCCCTGGGCCTTCCATGACTGCCCAGCTGGGACAAGTTGGAGCCAGGCCCAGGCAGTAGGCCAAGACATGCCCGTCCGCCCTGAGTCCAGGAGGCGCCTTGGCTCCAAAAGGGGAGTGGTCCTTCCCCTCCCACAAGGCAGAGGGTGGGCAGGGAGGGGCAGCCCAGCCCAGGCGGTCAGCATCAAGCAGGAGGTGGCCTCAGGGGGCTGCAGTCAGGGGAGGCTGCTGTGGGCTTGACCGGCTGCCCCTGGATGGCTTGGTAAAAGTCAAGCCACAGCCCAGCTGTGCAGTTCCATGGGGTGCAGAGAGGCTTTCTCCCCAAGTCCCCACTGGGAGAAAAGAGAAACAGGGAGAGGAGGGCCCCTGCCCTTGACACCGGGTCCCCAGGGCAGGCAGGGCGCAGGGGCGGGGAAGGCATGGTGTTCAGCAAGGGAGAGGGCTGGCAGTGGCCAGGGCTTCAGTCTGGGCCTTCACTTCATTGCCTGCTACCTGGGATGTGACAAGGCCCCCACCTGCTGATGCCACACTCCTCTCGCCCAGGCTGGCCTTGACCAAATTGGACATCCTGGACACCCTGGGCGAGATCAAAGTTGGTGTTGCCTACAAGCTCAACGGGAAGAGGATCCCATACTTCCCAGGTTGGGGCATGTCCCCCGTGGCCTGGCGCCCCTCTCCTCCGTGGCCTGACGCCCCTCTCCCCCGTGGCCTGACGCCCCTCTCCCCCATGGCCTGACACCCCTCTCCCCTGTGGTCTGACCCCTCTCTCCCCTGAAGCCTAGCTCCTTCTCCTCTCTTAGGCCTGGCTCCCCTCTCCCCAGTAATCTGTTCTCTCCTCCCCCAAGGCCTGGCCCCTTGGTCCTGAGGCTTCAAGGAGGAATCGCTGCTCCCTTGGTCTCTGTCCCCTGCCCCTTGCCCACACTGGGATCACGTCCTGACCCCACCTTGGTCCCCAGTGGCTGAGGTCAAGCCTACCGGTGTGGACTCATGGATGTACTGGGCTGAGGGAAACCCCATCTCCGCTGACCCCTCACCTCAAGGGGCCTGCTGAGCTGGCATTTTCTGTGGCTGAGGCTGCAAGGCCTTCAGGGACATGGGTTGTGAAAGAGGCCTGAAGGCAAAGGGATTTCCAGGCAGGGCCTGGAGGATGTGCCCAAGTGGCTGAGACCATGGCAGGCTACCCTCCCTGCTCATGTCCCTGTGTGCCCACCCCCACCCTGCTCTCTGCCCATATGTGCTCACCCCTCCCTGCTCATGCCTGTGCGCACCCACCCCCTCTCTGCCCATGTATGCCCACCCCCACCCCATAGCCAACCAGGAGACACTTCAAAAGGTGGAGGTTGAGTATGAGACGCTGCCAGGCTGGAAGACAGACACCACAGGAGCCAGGAGATGGGAGGACCTGCCCCCCCAGGCCCAGAACTATGTGCGGTTCGTGGAGAACCATGTGGGAGTGGCAGGTGGGTGCCCAGGCCCCTCTGTGCGCCCACACAAGGGCCTCCGGAGTGATTGTCAGAGACCACGGCCTCCTGGGGGGGGGTCCCCTGGGGACATGCACCCACCCCTGCTGTCCTGTGTTCTGCCATTGCTACTGGGAAGAAAACAGCCCCTGACTGTTCAGCCCTGGGACCGGCATGGTGCCCACCAGGGTAATGGGTTGCTCCTTGCCCTTGCAGTCAAGTGGGTCGGCGTTGGCAAGTCCCGGGAGTCCATAATCCAGCTGTTCTAGCTAAGCCTGCATCAGAGCCCTGAGGCCAGCCCTGCATCCCCCGGGAGCCCCGAGGCCAGCTGCAGCCATGGGCGCCCCCCCACCCGGGGAGCCCCAAGGCCAGCCCTGCGCCCCGGGAGCCCTGAGGCCAGCTGCAGCCGTGGGCACTTGGGTGCTGGGCCCAATAAATAGCTGACTGGCCACCTGTGTGTGTGTCCCTGTTGGCCTGCTGCTTCCCTGCAGTGGGGAGGGGAAGGAGGCAGCATCCCCAGAGTTGTCCCCCTTTTGGGGGACAGTTACACCCAGAAAGCAAAACAGCAGCTGAAGGCAGAGCCGACACACCGGGACCCCAGGTGAACCCAGGCGGGCGAGGCCTTTGCTGCCCCCGGGGCAGACACAAGCACAGGGCTGAGTGGAGAGTCACAGGAGTTTCTCAGAGGTTACACATGTGTCCCAGTTCTGGCCAGCACAAGGAGGACACGCGTGTGCGCAAGAGACTTGACACAGATGGTGCAAGGCAGCCGGGAGCCCCTTGCAGGAGGGCGGCATCCAGAAGACCACGTCTAGAAGGTTCTAGAATAGGGTCAAGAGCAGAACTGAGATCACTTGGAGGGTGGGGAGGAAGGGGCAGCCTTTGTGCCCCTGCAAACATGCCTGACCCAATGTGGCTGGCATTGGTCAGGCCATATCACCAGCCATGGGAAGCCCGTGCTGCCGCCAACCGCACCTGCACCTGCCAGCTTGTGCTTGGGCCACACCTGTCAAGAGATGGACGCTCACTTTCAAATCCCCATTTTCACTTGGGAGAGAGAACTTGCATCCTCCGTCACTCCCTCGACACCTGCAGCGGCGGGGGCTCCGGTGTGGCAGCCACGCCAGGGGGCTGATTCAGAGCAGGAATACTGGGATTTGAGCACTGAGTACTGGGTGTCGCCCTAGCTGAGAGGGCGACACCCAGTGGCAGCTGACATGGGGACCAGGCGGAGCACAAGCTGCCACCAGCCAGGCAGTGCTTGGCACAGGACAGCAGTAGGAGCCTCGGTGGCACCCTGTTCATATACCCCCACCCCAGGTCATACACCCCACCCCACCCTAGTTCGTATGCTCCCCACCCGCAGTCGTCCGGCAGTGCGGGAGGCCCTGGTCCGACTGAGGTCAGCAGCGTGTGGTCAGTGCGGGAAGCCCTGGGCAAAGCTGCCGTCTCCTGCAGTGTGTGTTTAGTCTCGGCCCCGGGAGGACCCTGGCATCCGCCTGTCAATGCTGAAGACGCGGACGGCGCGCGCCTCCCGGAGCCTCAGAGGAAGAACGTGAGGAAAGCTGCTCGCCAACCCAAAACTCCTCGGCCACGCAGCCCTTCGCGCCCCACGCCTGGTCCCGCCCCCTAGTCCGTCCGGACCTATCCCGCGCCGCGCTCGGTCGAACCCCGCCCCCAGCGTGGCTCCCGACCTATCCTGTCCCTCGTGGCAGGGCTTCGCCCCGCCTCTTCCCCGCCTCACTCTCGGCCTCGCCTGAGGCTTTTCCCGCGCCCGGAGTCCCGCCCGTAAGCGTCAGAGGCCCGCCTCCCTCGTAGTCTGGCCTATCAACGCCGCGTCTCGCACGAGTCCCGCCCCCGCGCCCTCTCTTGGCCTATCCCGCGCCTCGCCTCTGTCCCGCCCCCACCCTGACCTAGTGTTGGCGCATGGTTGTGACATCACGGGCGGCGCGCGGCGAGCGGGCAGCCGCGTCCTGCAGCCCCGCGGCCATGCCCAAGCGGGGCTGCCCTTTTCCGGACGCGGCGCCGCTGCAGCTCAAGCTGCGCGTGGGCCAGAGGGAGCTGGGCCGTGGCGTGTGCGCCGAGCGCTACTCCCGGGAGATGATCGGTGAGTGCGTGCATTGTGAGCGGCGGCCGCGCGGGGCTGGGGTCAGCGCGTCCCGGGGCCCCGAGGGCCAGCCGAGGCCGGGCGTACGGGGAACCGCGTGCGGGGAGCCGCAGAGGCGCCTTCTGTGGGACTGCCAGCCCTGCGGGAGGCTGCGGGGGTACTCCAGGCGCGTTTTGGGGCGCGCTGGCTAAATGCAGGTTTGCAGGGTCGGCCACGCAGCTACTGGACAGGGAGCCGCCTCACCACGGGAGCTCCATTCCTGTCCGCAAACAGCTCGAAGCCAGCGGCAAGGAGCCCGCCTGGCCGCGGGCCTGGGCTGTCCCTGCCATGCTGCCCGCTGCCTCCCAGAAGGGGAAGGGGACGGGGCTCGCCCGGCTCAGCGTCCGCCTCCTCACTCCCTGGCACCTGCAGAGGGCTGGGGAGGACAGCGGTCCCCAGCCCGGGGCCATGAGCCCACGGAGGGCGTGGGTGGGCTGTGGGCGCCTGGCTCACGTGTGTGGTCTGTCTCCCCAGAGAGGACCAAGCAGCTGCTCTTCCAGGGGGCCCAGGCCTACATGGACCGCATGTGGGGCGACGGCTGCGCCCTTGTGCACCTGCCCGAGCCCCCCAAGCCCGGCCCTGCTGCCAGGGGGCAGATGCTGATTGGACCCGACGGCCGCCTGCTCCGGAGCCAGACAGAGGCTGGTGAGTGGGGGCCACTGAGGCCACTGGCTGGCTGTCCGCACCCTCACACCTGTTGGGGGCGCCGGGAACCACTGGTCAGTGTTGCTTGTGCAGGGTGGGGCAGGTGCTGCAGTCGCTGCCTGCCTGGGACATGTCCCAGCACCGTCCACCCTTTCTGGGGGCAACAGAGGGAGTTCCTGGGCCTGGCGTCCACCTGGCAGAACTGGGCTGCCTCAGCGGCTGACTGATAGACAGATGGCTGGCTGGAGGGACAGTTAGATGCAGAAGCAGGCAGAAGGCAGCTGGGTGGGTGTTTAAAACAGCCCACCCATGCCTGGGCGAGCTGGGAGCCCCTGGGCAGCCAGCCACAGCGACACCTGTGGACGGGGACCTCTGGTGGCAGAGAGCACAGTGGGGGGGGGGGGTTTCAAAGGATCCAGTGAGAGATGGGGTGGGGACAGGGAAGTGGGAACCCCTCGGCCCCAGCATCTGAGTGACCTTGGCCCCCCCTCCCCGCAGACCCATCCAGGGTGGCCCCAGTGGCCTGCTCATCATGTGTACGTGCAGTGGACGGCAAGGCGGCATGTGGCCAGTGCGAGCGGGCCCTGTGTGAGCAGTGTGTGCGAACCTGCTGGGGCTGCGGTGCCGTGGCCTGCAGCCTGTGTGGCCTCTTGGAGTAAGTGGACATGCCTGGCTCGTGTTAGGTGGTGGCATCCTTGACCACACAGAATCGAACCCACAGCATGCTGATTCTCTACCTGGTGGGGTCCTGGACAGATTCACATTTTGGGCTCTTTATTTCCTAAAATCTTATGTATTTGAAAGGCAGAGTATAAAGAGAACATGCTATCCACTGGGCACAATGGCCAGGCTGGTCTAGGCTGAAACCAAGTGCCTGAAGTGCCGTCCAGGTCTCCCAGGCCACAAGCAGGGAGCTGGATGGAAGTAGAGCTGCTGGGATTAGAACCGGCGCCCACATGGATTGCTGATCCTGCAGAAAATTAGCACACTGTGCACAGCAGGGCCTGTGTGCTGATCTTCTGGGCCCCCCTCCCCATAGGTGACCCTCCTGGGGTCTGGGCACTGCCTGCAGGTGCAGGCTCTTGGGTGTGGCCTTTCAGACCAGGAACAGGGTGCGTGTACGTGGGTGCGAGTGTGCACAGGTGTGGGCACGCGTGCTCGGGTGTACAGTGGTGTGGATGTGTCATTCACACAGGTGTGGGCACGCGTGCTCGGGTATACACTGGTGTGGATGTGTCATTCACACAGGTGTGGGCACGCGTGCTTGGGTATACACTGGTGTGGATGTGCAAGTTCACACAGGTGTGGGCACGCGTGCTCGGGTGTACAGTGGTGTGGATGTGTCATTCACACAGGTGTGGGCACGCGTGCTCGGGTATACACTGGTGTGGATGTGTCATTCACACAGGTGTGGGCACGCATGCTCGGGTATACACTGGTGTGGATGTGCAAGTTCACACAGGTGTGGGCACGCGTGCTCGGGTATACACTGGTGTGGATGTGTCATTCACACAGGTGTGGGCACACGTGCTCGGGTGTACACTGGTGTGGATGTGCAAGTTCACACAGGTGTGGGCACGCGTGCTTGGGTATACACTGGTGTGGATGTGCAAGTTCACACAGGTGTGGGCACGCGTGCTTGGGTATACACTGGTGTGGATGTGTCATTCACACAGGTGTGGGCACGCGTGCTTGGGTATACACTGGTGTGGATGTGTCATTCACACAGGTGTGGGCACGCGTGCTTGGGTATACACTGGTGTGGATGTGTCATTCACACAGGTGTGGGCACACGTGCTCGGGTGTACAGTGGTGTGGATGTGCAAGTTCACACAGGTGTGGGCACGCGTGCTCGGGTGTACAGTGGTGTGGATGTGTCATTCACACAGGTGTGGGCACGCGTGCTCGGGTATACACTGGTGTGGATGTGTCATTCACACAGGTGTGGGCACGCGTGCTCGGGTATACACTGGTGTGGATGTGCAAGTTCACACAGGTGTGGGCATGCATGCTCCATGGCTTGGCCTGGGTCTGGCTCTGACCCGAGGGTGGCCAGGAGGGGTGGCCACAGCCTCTATGGAGATGATTGAGACCTCTGATTGGGATGGTCCTTTGTCTTGGCTCTGTTGGGACCACCGGCTGGCTGGGGTGGGGGTGTCCACTGGGCCTCCTGGGCGGGTTGTGTGGGATCAGTGACTCACCCTGACCTGTGTCTTCCCTCTCCCATGCTGCAGGCTCGGCGATGCAGGCGAGAAGGTGCTGTGTGGCAGCTGTACCATGTTCGAGGCCTGATGGCAGCGTGGGCGGGCTCTGTGTTTATACTGTCATGACACCAGCAAATGAACTTTCTATTTCTGCTATTTCTGCTATTTCTGAGTGTGTGTGTGCGCGCGCACAGGGGGGTGGGGAGGCTGCCAGGGTGACAGGAGCTGATCTCAGCCCCTGGTGGCAGCACTGGAGGGCTGTGCTGGCTGCAATGTGGAGGTGCAGGCTCCTTGCAGACCCCAAATGCTTGTCCCATCTAGGACTGTGGAGGCATGTTGTCATCTGCAAGGTGCCCAGGGTCCCCTGGCGAGGGTGCTCACCGGAGCTGGCCATACCCTCAGGAGACAACAGGGCACCAGTAGGCACTTCACAGGCACAAGCCCAGGTCAGGCCTCCCTGGTGGCCATGATGCCTGGGCAGCCAGAGGCTGAGGCTTCACAGAGGCAGTCGGGGGTTACACCCACCACCCCACAGTGCCACCAACTTGAAAAGCAGTTTTTATTGAACTTGGAGGGGCCATTCCAGGTTTCATAGTAAAAATACAAAGGTTGATGATAAAAATGCTGGCGGGGCCAGGGCGAGAACCAGCAACGTGGAACGTCTGAGAGAACAGGAACTTTCAGAGGGGCCATCCAAGGGGACACTGGGGGACAGTCCCCAAGGGCCACCTGACTTGAGGAAGGGCCTCTGGCCTCAGGAAGAGGCCACAGTGTTGTCCCTGGCTGGCCCTCCCCCAGGGCCACCCACAGTCTCCTCAGAGGCCAGCCGCTGGCAGGGAGAGGAGATGGAGTGCCCAGCACTACTCCCCAGCCTGGCCTCTGCCCATTGGCCCTGGCAGCCCGGGCCTCGCCAGAATGAGTCGGTGAAATAAATTAAGGACTGGCAGTTTCCCTCCTGTCTGCTGCAAAGGGTGGCCTGGCTCCGTGGCTGCAGCCGCGCGTGGGCTCCTTCCATCCTGGGGATCACTCAGGCAGTGCCGCTGGCCGAGTAGGAGAACTGGGGGAAGTGCGGCCTGCGCTCGCTGTCCACACACTCCATACTGTCATCTGTAGGAGCAGGGACAAGGCACTGGCACCAGTGCAACACGGGCACCCGCAGTGAGGAGCACCAAGCTGGGGGGAAGCTCAGGTGAGGCCCTTGGCACACAAACCCCGCCCTGGCGTGTCCACCTGCCAGGCATGGAGCCTCACCTTGGTCGGGAGGCGTGATGGTGATCATCTGGGCCGTGAACTCCTCATCAAAATACCTGGTGTCTGTCTCAGAGGTGACCTGGGGCTTGAAGGGCGGGCTCAGCTGCATGACAGCAAAGGGAGGCTGGCACTGGTCAGCTGACCCCGGACCGCCTGGGGCACCCCAAAGTGCCACAGCAGGTGGCATGGCTTGCCATTCTCGCCCTGGTTTCCTTGCAAATGGAGAAGGGGGGCTGGGGAAGAACACTCCTAGGCTGAGCACGCCCTGCCTTGGGCCTGGCTACTGGAGGAAGAGCAGTGAGCACCCAGGCTACGGGAGTGGGAGATGCACAGGTAAGACCCCAGTCACAGGGATGGCGGGCCTGGTGTGGCTAGAGGTGGGGTGACAGCAGACTGGGCACACGCCCCAGCTTGTCAGAAAGCGGGCCAGCCCAAGTCCACCAAGCATGGCAGGAGGTGGGCACATGTACCCTCATCCCACCCGGGGCGGGCAGGGCCGTGTACCCTCATCCCACACGGGCGGGCAGGGCCGTGTACCCTCATCCCACCCGGGGCGGGCAGGGCCGTGTACCTTCTTCTCGTACACGTCCTGCCACACGATGCCGGAGAAGAAGCGGTGCCTCATGATCTCCTTGGCGTCCTCAGAGCCCCCGCCAAGCCTGGGGGGAGCAGGCAGGCTCAGGAGGAGCTGCAGGCCCCACCTTGCACTGGGGGGACAGGCCCCGCCGGCCTCACCTCTGCTTGGGGTCCTTCTTGAGCAGGCCTGAGAGCAGGGACTTGGCCTCAGGGCCCAGCGTGCGTGGGAAGCGGATCTCCTCCATGAGGATCAGCTCGAAGAGCTTCTCGTGGTCCTGATTGTAGAAGGGCAGCCGGCCACACATCATCTCGTACATGACCACGCCCAGCCCCCACCAGTCCACAGCGCGGCCATAGTCGTTGTCCTCGAGCACCTGCGGGGCCAGGGGGGCAGCGTCACCGCGGGCCCAGCCACGCACCCCACGCTGCCGCTCGGGGAGGTGGGGTGGGCGCGGGCAGCACCTCGGGGGCCAGGTACTCGGGTGTCCCGCAGAAGGTCTTCATGGTGGCACCGTCCTTGATGCCCTCCTTGCACAGCCCGAAGTCGGTGATGCGGATGTGTCCGTCCTTGTCCAGCATCAGGTTCTCCAGCTGTGCGGGAAGGCAGGGTCAGCCCCGGCCCCCCACTGGCCCGTCAGCCCCCCTGCCGGGCCCCCTGGCACCTTGAGGTCCCGGTACACCACGTTCTTCTCCGAGTGCAAGTAGTCCAGCGCCGACACAATCTCAGCGCCGTAGAAGCGGGCGCGCTCCTCGGAGAACACGCGCTCGCGGGACAGGTGGAAGAAGAGCTGTGGAGAGGCAGGTGAGACGCGCAGGGAGCCCGAGTCCCGACCCCAGCCATCCGGACCCACCGGCGCTTACCTCGCCGCCGTTGGCGTACTCCATGACGAAGCAGAGGCGGTCGTGAGTCTGGAAGGAGTACTTGAGTGCCTGAAACCGAACACAGGGCTTCAGGGCCCGGCCCGGGGTACCCGCAGTACACTGTCCCCCAACCCCTGCTGGGCAGGACGCGCACACTCACGGTGAGAAATGGGTGTCGGGAGTTCTGCAGCACACGGTTCTCCGTGAGCGTGTGTGCCACTTCGTCCTGGAAGGTGGGGCGAAGGTGGGGCCTCTGAGCGCAGGTGCCCGGCCAGCCCCGCCCCCAGGCCCCGCCCCCGCCCCGGCCCCACCTTGGCCACGATGACCTCTTTCTTGAGGATCTTCATGGCGTAGTAGCGGCCGGTGGCCTTCTCCTTCACCAGGATCACCTTCCCAAAGGTGCCCTTGCCCAACAGCTTCAGGTACTCAAACTCGTTCATGGTCTGCGGGTGATGAGCGGTTGTAGCTCACGGCCGCCCAGCCCCCAGGAGCCCAGGCGTCCTCCGTGATCCACCGTCAGTGCCGGGAGCAGCCCGGGCAGGGGTGGCTCTTACCACACGGTGCTTCGGCTTGGCCAGCGACACCTCCATCTCCTCGGCGCCCGAGTTGTCACTGGGAGACCCCGACCGGAAGTCCATCATCTCCTCCTCCTGCTTCTTGAGCCCGTCGGCCACTGTCTGGATGGCTGTGGTCCATTCCTCCCTGCAGGGACGCCCGGCAGACAGGGCCTGTGGGCCCAGGCAGCCTGCCCAGCCTCCTCCCCAGGCCCCGCTGTCCCTCGCCTGCCCAGCCTCCTCCCCAGGCCCCGCTGTCCCTCACCTGCCCAGCCTCCTCCCTGGGGCCCCGCTGTCCCTCGCCTGCCCAGCCTCCTCCCCAGGGCCCCACTGTCCCTCGCCTGCCCAGCCTCCTCCCCAGGCCCCGCTGTCCCTCGCCTGCCCAGCCTCCTCCCCGGGCCCCGCTGTCCCTCGCCTGCCCAGCCTCCTCCCCGGGCCCCGCTGTCCCTCGCCTGCCCAGCCTCCTCCCCGGGCCCCGCTGTCCCTCGCCTGCCCAGCCTCCTCCCTGGGGCCCCGCTGTCCCTCGCCTGCCCAGCCTCCTCCCAGGGCCCCGCTGTCCCTCGCCTGCCCAGCCTCCTCCCCAGGGCCTGGGCCGCTGCCTACCGCTCCTCAGGCGTCTCCACGTGGAAGGTGCGCTCGATGACCGTGGTCCACTGCAGGCAACGGATGATGAAGGTGTTGGGCCGCGGCCGCTCCGTCTTCATCAGCTGGCACTCTGGGGTGGCATCAGGGACAGCCCTCAGCAGGCAGGGCCCCTTGCCACACCTCAGCACCCCCCAGCGTGAACAGTCTGCTCCGGAGGCAGCCCAGGAGGACACTGGGCTGCGCCAACATGACCACCTCGGTCCTGCAGTCAGCAACTGGGCCTGCCAGGCCCTGGGGAGCCCAGGAGGAGCTGTGACAGAGCAGCGTGTCCTGCTCCTCACGGCCACCTCTACTGCCTGCAGCACACACCTGCAGAGCATTCAGCCCCCACTCACACGCCTGTACCGTGTTCAACACACTTGTATACCAGGAACATGCATGGGACACACATGGGCTTTGCACAGCCAGGCCATGTCTTCTGCAACCCCGCGTCCTATGGAAGCCAGGCCCTGCCCCTGCCCCAGTTCCTGAGGGCCTTCTTGCCCTGCCTGAGGCTGCAGGGCAGCCTGCCTGGTGGCCCCCACTCCAGGAGCCTGACCAGTCCTGATCCTGGGGCATGTGCTCAGCCTGAGCTCCTTGGGCACAAGGTGGGCACAACACAGGAGGGTGACCCAGCAGCTTGTGCCACAGCCCTGAACCTGGGTGGCTACCTGAGAGGGCATGGGGGGGGGAAGATCCCACGGGGGCCATAATCCTTCACATCCTGGGGCACATGGGCTCTTGCCTAGCCAGGCCAGCCCCCAGGACTAAGCTGGGCCCCCAGTCAGTGGATCATACAGAGCAGTACAGGGGAAGTGACACAGCGCACCCACTGGATGCTAGCTCCCAGCTGAGGGGATCAGCCCCATCCAAGTCACCTCTCCCAGGGGCCTCAGCTGCAAAAGAGCCTTGGGGGGGACACCTACGTGCCACAGAGAAGTTGTTCAGAGGGGACTCGCGCTGCTCCACGTCCTGCGGCCTCTCCTTGTAGCCGATGAAGGTGCCATCACTCTTGAGAAGGAAGTAGCGTGGCCGCCATGTCTTGATGTACTCCCCTGTGGGGACCCAGGACACCGGCTGTGAGGACTCTGCAAGACTCGGCTGGCTGCAGGCACGGGGACAGGTGCCAGGCCCCGGCCAGGTACCCAGGGTGTGGCCAGCAGGTGGCTGGAATGTGAGCTGACCAAGAACATAAAAGCCTGGCTCCTGGCAGGGGCGCGCCAGCCCCAAGATCCTGGAAGGCACAACAGGATGAGAGCGGGGACAAGGACAGTCGCTGCCCGCCCTGGGCACAGCCTCTGAACACCGGCTGCTATGACCCTGTCCTGGCTCAGGGACACGGGCACAGCTCCCCCAGCCGTCCCCACGCACAGCGCGTGGGGACGTGGCAGATGCTCTGGGAGCGCGTGGGGTCATTTGTCTTCCTGACACCCAGGAGAACGCCTCATTTACATTTTGCCGAGCTTAGAGTGTGAGCAACAGGAACGGGGCTAATTAGGCAATTGCTCCACTGAGAGGGCCCAGGGAGCAGGCAAAGACCCCAACTCAGCTCACCAGACTCCCAGGGCTGTCAGGGGCCGCCCGGGCAGGGCACTTGCTCTCCCTGGCACCTCCCCAGCCCGGCCTGCACTCCCTAGTTCACAGGGGGAGGCCCTGGCAGATGGGCAGCCCCACCCCTGCTCTCATAACCCTTTCCACATCCAGGAACTGATGCCCCCAGGCTTGGCCACACAGGAGGGGGTGCACAGGGGCTCCAGGGTGAGTGTGTGGAGCTGGCTCTGGGGGCTGCACAGCCCCCCTCTGCTGGGCCGGGCCGCCCGCCGGAGCGCCCACCCGCCTGCGTGCCAGTCTGGAGCTGTCGGCCCCTGATGGAGTGCCTCTCATTCTGCCAGCTGCCGCGCCCCAGGACGCTGACGGCGCGCAGAGACTGATGAGCACCAAGCCAGCGTCCCCGAATCCATCTTGGCCCTGTGCGGGGCGGCCCCACTGACTGGGAGCCTGCCCAGGGGTCTGCTGAGGGACACACCTGCCCCACCTCTTCACCAGAGCCCTGGCTTGGCTGGGGTGTGGCGTCCTCACACTTAACCTAGTCAGCCAAGATGCAGACACAGCCACAGACCCTGCCAGGCCTGGGTGCGGGGAAGCAGGCCGGGAAAAGAGGCAGTGTGGCCACCATCAGACTGGCCCCTGGGAGCCCATGGAGAAGGCAGACGTGCCCGCTGAGTTCCCCCTCTCCCGGCAGTAAAGGGTCCCTGCTTGTCCCCCGTGTCAGGCTCTGCTCATGGGTGGAGCAGCAGAGTCCAGCCGGGAAGGTCCACCCCCAGCCACAAGGGCCCACATGACATACGTGGGGTGGCAGCAGAGCAAGCACACTGGAGCTCTCTGGCGTCCACCCTACAAGCAGGGTGTGCAGCGGGCACCCAGGCCTGGGTGTGCCAGCATCCCCCAACAACACATGCATTTCAGACCCGCAACCATGGCCGGCCCCAGCCTCCCTGCCCCAGCAGGCTCCACTCCCAGGCAGGTCCAGGAGACCCACGCCTCCCCAGGCTGGCCAGCCCACCACTAGGGCATCCTCAAACGTGGGCCAGGGCTGGGAGCAGAGGTACCCAGCTGTCCCCACACTGGGTCCTGTCCAGGCCACAGGAAAGGCACGCTGGGGCCTATCAAAAGCTCCCAACCCCAAGCCAGTCCAGGAGGCCCCAGAGCTGGACCAGCTTCAGCCTCACAGCCCTCAGCACGCCTCAGCCCCCACGAGCGTGCACCCCCAGCAGCACCCGTATGACTGGGGCAGGGGTCAGACGCCACGCTGCGTGGCTGCCGTGGCCTGCACTCCACGAGCGTCCCCTCCGCCCCTGCAACTCTCAGCAAACTGCTGGATTAACGCCTTGCTGCCGCAGCAGTGGCTGGCAGGGTGCCAGGCAGCACCAAGCTGTTTCTCCACAGCAAAGTGAAGCCCAGCAGGCCCAGGGAGCAGCGCCAGCTGACAGCACCGCCACCGCCCCAACGCATCCATCGTGTGCGACAGCTGCGGCCGCCACGTACCTTCTCAGCCCACTGAGCAGACGGCCTGCTGGCACCAGTCCATCACTGCCGGCTGAGTGGGCCCTGCGTCCCCTGAGGCGGCCAGCCCGGCTGGGAGTGCTGCACTGAGGGCAGGAGCAGCGTCCGCTCTGCCAGCGGGGGTGGTCCCAGAAGGCAGGATGCACAGAGTCCCTGGGACACTAGTCCAAGAGGCAGGCCATGGCCGTGACCCGGATGTTGGTGACCAACTGCCCCTGGGCTGGACGCTGGGCTCCCCCAGCCACCCCAGCACAGTGGAGGGACGCAGCCTCTTTCTGCAGCACCTCACCCAGCCCCCTGGCTCAGCCACACACAATCCCTTTGCTCCATGGGTGGGGTGGCCTTCTAGTCTCCCCACCCTTGACTCTACACTCTAAATCCAGCATGGCTGGATCTGCAGCTCAGGGCCAGCCCCAGCCATGGCCACTCTTAAAAGCCAGAACCCTCACCAGTCACCAACTGCCTCCAGCTGCTTCAGCCACATGTGGCCCTCCAGGGGTACTTCCCAGCCTCTGTCCTGGGCCAAGAGTCCAGAGGGACCCGACCTGGCAGGAAAGGTGTCAGGGCTCCTGACCTGGCTGAGCAGCCTCCCCAGACACCGCTCAGAAGGTGGGGCCCCGCACCTGCCCACCTGCCACCACAGAGCAACTAGACATTCCCCAAGGACACAGACACAGGACACAGAGGCAGTGGCTGGCTGCCAAGAGGACCCCCAGTAACTCATAGCTCTCAATGCTAACGAGTGGGAAAGGCAGGCGACTGCTACCTGGGTGGGCAACGGGGCCGAGGAGCCCCAGTGAGGGAGCAGTTGAGGGCAGGGTGCTGGTCCCACGCCCGCTAGGCATGCCTGTCCCTCCACCCCTCCAGGGATTTCCAGGAGTCAGCCAGGCCTGCAGAGAGGGTGCAGAAAGATGGGCGGGGAAGGGGTACCATCGTCCTGCAGCCCAGTCCCAGCTGCACCCCGGTGGCAGGAGAGTGAGTGCCCCAGCCCTGCCCGTCCTGAGCCCCCACAGGCTGCCCTGACAGAGCCCTGAGCACTGCCCCCGCCCCCCAGCACCAACACCTTAGCTTCCTCTTTTGCTGTTTGTTTTTGGAGGGAGAACTTGACGCTCACAAAACAGGAAGCTGGGCCCGACACTGCCAAGCCATGGCCACAGCCATGTTCCCAGCAGCCTGGCCCCTCTGGCCAGCCCTCCCACTGGGCACACCCACCCCTCCCCCTGGGCACACCCACCCCTCCCCCCAGGCACACCCACCCCTCCAGGTTCCCAGGCCCCATCTTGCCTCCTGCTGCCCACAGGGCACCGCAGGAAGTAGACACAGCCACAGCCTCCCAGGGAAGCAGGGGCAGCCCTGCCCAAGGCGGGCACAGCCCTGCCCAAGGCGGGCACAGCCCCAGTGCTCCCTGCCCTGCAAGGGTGAGCCTACAGAGAGCATCGCCTGGCTGGACAGTGGCCACCAGGGTCGCGAAAGGTTCTGGGACTGGAGGCCCCTCCAGGGCCACCTGCCCCTGGACTCAGAGGTAGTGGATGGGAGGCAAAAGGGAGCCTGGCCACCTTCAGGGCCATAGCAGGGAAATCCAGGATGGGGACACAGCAAAGCCTTGAATGTTGCACAGATGGGTGCCCGTATAAGCCCGTGGGCCACCTTGCCTCCTATGCAGTGGGCAGGGCCCAGGGAACCTACATGCCAACCCCAGGCCAACTTCCCCAGGCACCTCTGGGCTGGCACCACCAGGGCCATAGCCCCTGGACCCAGCTTTCCATTGGGGGCTCTGCACGGGAAGGGCTCAGGTGGCCAGGAGACCCGGACTATGTCCCGGCTGTAGCCATTGTGGGCACCTGAGGAACTGCCTGCTTCTCAAAACAAAACAGAAAGCTGACACCCAGAGTCCCACTGGGCGTGCTCCTCAGGGGACCGCAGGCGCTCCCAGAGCACAGCTGGCCCCACGTGTTGGCTCCTGGGGTCGCCAGCCAGGGATGCATGTCCACATGCAGCCACGCAGGGCCCAGGGCCCAAGCTCCGGAGAAGTAGGCAGGAGCCCCCCACCAGACCATCACCCAGGGGTCTCTGCCCTCTGCCCTCAGCCAGACCTGAGCAGGGGAAGGATGGAGCAGAAATCAGCACTGATGGTGGTGACCGCCATACAGCCAGGGGCCACCACAGAGGGCCACCTCTGGAGGGGGAAGGGGGCTTCATGGGCACATGGCCTGGTCCACAGCCTCACTACCCAGGCTGGGGGTGCCACAAGGACTGGGGGCTGCCAGGCCCCCCAGGCCCAGGCAAGTCCCTGAACTTGGCCCAGCTGAAGCATGGGACAAGTGTCACATCCATGCCAGTGCTGCCCCTGGCCTGTTGTCCTCCACAAGGGGCACCTCTGCCCTTCCCAGAGGGAGCCCGAGGAGGGATGGAGGGGCTGTCGGCTGGGTCCTCCCTGCAACTGTAGTCCCCACCCCCACCCGCTGGGAGCAGGTGCGGGGAAACCTGTCTTCAGGGGCCCTCGGGCAATGCCCCAGGCAGCCCAGTGTCCTCAGGGCCTTCCAGGAAATCAGGAAGAGAGTTGCTCAGACCAGGCCAGAGGGTACCCACCCCTAGGGCACACGCACCTCGCTTGTGCAGCCAGCCTTCCTTCACAATGCTTCCTTCGGTCATGGTGCTCCTGCTGCCTGCTCCCGCTGCGCTCACTGGAGGCTCAGGGCGCCCAGGGGGCCTGGCCCGGGGCTCTGGAGAAAGTGACCGAGGACTGTCAGTCTGAGTCTGGCCCTGCCACAGGGCCCTGGACTGTCCACATCCTCTCCCACATGCTCAGCGCTCCCTGGGTCCCAGACCAGGCTGGTCAGCCCCCTGCCCCTCCCCCAGCCCCAAGGGATTGCAGCCTCCCCAACCAGTGGAACCAGCTGAGACCACATCCTCCAGGTAGCTCTCAACTACTCCAGCCCCCCACCGCTCAGTGCCCAGCCTGTCCAGGCCCTGGGACTGCAGGAAAACCGTCCCAAACCACAGGGCCCCTGCCACTGGGAACCCTCCGCATTCCTCCAGGCCCTGTGCCACCATATGAGCCCCCTGCTCACCAGCCACAGCATCTGGCACCGGCCCACGTGAGCATTCCCCGGGCTGGGCAGGAGCCCCAGGAGGGGGACAGCCAGGGAGGCAGTGGCCACAGGCCAGGCCTCCTAAGCCGCAACCTGGGTAGCAGGACCAGGCTTAGTGGCAACCAGGAAGGGCCTGGGGCCTGGGAGAGAGGGCCAGGGGCAAAAACGATGCAGTGGGATGGCCGAGGAGGGGACCCCCACTTCCTGCAGCCTCTGTGGCCCAGAGGCTCCAGCCCCCGGCTTTAGAACCGGCCCTGTAGGCTGTGTACAGCCAGGGATAGGGAACCAGGCCCCACCCACACAGCCTGCCCTGCACCTGAGTGCCAGCTTCAAGCAGCCCAGGACAGCAGGGGTGAGGGGGCGGAATCCCAGGCCAGTCCAGCCAGGGGGTGCACCGAGGCAGGCTCCTCAGTGGGCCCAGGACCCCCAAGCAGATGTGAGCAGCTGACCCCAGCCAAACAGGAAGTGGCTTGGGGCCCAGGAGGGGTAGCAGACCCCTAAAGGGGTAACCCGGGCAGCCCAGGAAGGTCTGACTACCAGAGGCTTCTAGGAACTAAAAAGCGGGTGCGGACAACCCTTTTCCCAAGCCCCCAGCACCGACTCGGCCCCGCTGGCCCCGCACCCAGGCTCGCAGGGGCGCCCCCAGCCCAAGGCCGCGGGGCCGGGCGCACCCCCTCTGCTGGCCTAGGCCCGGCCGGCGGGGAGGCCTCCCAAGGTCACAAGGAGGCCGGGGCCGACGGCCCGCACCCGGACGCCGGCCGGGGCGCCTCCCGCGCGGCCGCGCGCCCCGCGCCCTCCACGCCCAGGCCTCGCTCGGCCACTTCCTGCCCCCGCCCTCCACGCCAGAGGCCGTGGCCGCACCGGCCCACCGGGAACAAAGCGTGGGGCCGCGAGCACGGCCGGCGGCGGCGGCGGCGGGACTCACCGGGCCGCCGCGTCCGCGCGAGCGGGGCCTAGCCGGGCCGCGGCCTCCGGCGCCCGCCGCTCCGCATCCCCGCGGGCCGGCGCTGGGCGGGGCCGGCTGGAGGCCGCGGCGGGCGCTGCTCGGGCCGGGCTCGCGCCGCTGCCGCTCCGGTGCCCGCGCTCGCGGCGCGCTCGGTGCCCGGCGCGCTCGGTGCTCGGCGCCCGCTCCCGCGCTCGGGCCGCGCTGGCTGCGCTGGGCCGGCCGTCCGCCGCGCTCGGTCCCGCCGCCGCCGGCCCGCCCTCTCCCCGCCCCGCGCCCGCGCCGCCCGCCCACATCCGCCTCCGCCGCCCCGGGCGCCCCCACCGCGCGGCCGCCGGCGAGGGCGGAGCGCCCGGAGCGCGAGCAACGCGGGGCGGACCCGGCGGCCCGCTAGCGGAGCGCGGCCTCCGAGGCCCTCTGTGTAAAGCGCCGGCCACTAGTGGGCCCGGCCCGCGCCCCAGATGGGCCTGGGGGCTGGGGTCGGGAGGAGGGAGCTGCCCGAGGGCCCTAAAAGTCCCAGGCGAGCGAGTGGCCGCCGGGGACAGTGCGGGACGAGTGCGGACGGGTTCCCCAGCCCTGAGCAGAACGGGGCGCGGGACTTGCGGGGACAGGGGGAGGAGAGGGACCCCGAGCTGGGGACAGAGGCAGCCGGCGGAGGGCGCACGCAGCAGGCCCTTGCCTGGACTGGCCGGGCCGGACCCGTGGCCGCAGCCAGCCACGCAGTCCACGCGCGCTGCGGGGTCTCCCGCGCGGCAGACAGACCCCCGGCTCCCAAAACACCGCACCACCCCGCCCCGCCCCCTCCCAGAGGCCCAGCGCTGATTGGCCCGGAGGGGGGGGGGCTGTCATTTTTGTTTTTTTATTCAGGGTCAGAGTTCAGCTCGGCATCGGGAGATGACTCGGGGAGGCAGGTGCAGGCGGGCCGGGTGGCCGGGGTTCCGTGCCGCCCCGACGGCACTGGCGTCACTCGCTCCTCCAGGTGCCTCCCAGCTCCTGCAGCATAGAGTGACCCCAGCTCAGGGGCCCCCGCAAACCTTGATCGTGACCCCCCAGGACGCTTTCTGGGCTGTGCAGTCTGGAAGGTGGAGGAGCCTGGGGAGCAGGAGCATCCAGGGAGCTCCCCTGCAGACCTGCACAGGTCACTTGCACATGTGGCCCTGCACTCTGCACAGCTGCAGTGACCCACCCCTGCGCCTGAGCTGGCACTGAGGGCTACAGCCCAGGCCTGGCTCTGGCCACTGCCGGGCCTGCCACAGGGCCCCTTGGCCAGATGTTCCTGACAAAAACTGCTGCCCTGGCCCCAGAGGGGCCGGTTGCCTGCCCTGTCCCCTCCTGCAGCTGCTGTGGACGTCAGGACGCAGGGGCCGGGCACCAGGGCTGTGAGCTCAGCAGCAGCTGCAGGGCAGGGCCTGGGGCAGCTCCCAGGCCAGATTGCAGCCCGATTCTGGAGAGGCCCTCCAAGGGCGGCCTGCTGCAGGCCCCCAGGACAGCCCACTCCCACAGTTAACCGTGGGCTGCCAGGGTCAGGCCTGCCCCCTCCTCAGGGTTGCCCTTGCAGGTGCAAGGCCGGTTCGCTCCCTGCCCACAGTGGCTTCCAGTGCGAGTCCGCTCAGAGTGCACAGACCCTCCCCCAAGGAGGGTCCCCAGGGTGCAGGGAGGAGGAAAAGACCGCCTAAGGAGAGGGGAGAAAATAGGTATGCTCTCAGGGGGAGAACCTTCCAGAAAAAAAAAAGGCCAGCCAGTAGCCGGGTCTGAAGCCAATGCCAAGCAAGAAATGTGCCCCCATCCTCTCCCGAGGGTCATTAGGTTCACCGCAGGGAAGGGTGGGGCTCTGGCTGGACCCCATGTACTGGGCTGCTGTCAGGGAGACCAGGCTGGGGCCTGGTGCCCCAGCCCTCTGGGCATGTACCTTGCAGGGCGACTGAGAGCTGGGGCGGCGCAAACACTGCGCACACACCTGTGTTCAGAGTGAGGCTCCCATCACTGCCAAGGCCACACCAGCTATCTTCCCTTATCTGAAGACCACCAGGATGGCAGCTCGTGGATAGAGGGGGGTCCGCGGTGCCGGGCACCTGCTTCCTCCGCCCCCTCCCCTCTTGTCTGCCCAACCTGTCTTCAGAATGACCAGGACGCGAAAGCTTTAGTGCTAACCCCAACCCGGCCCTCCCGGTCTGCTGGGAGGGTATGGGGTCTCAGATCTGCGTCTGCGCTGACGTGCAAGCACAAGCTCTTCAGGAAGGGGCATAGCCCCCACCTGCCCCAGGCCCCGACGGCCGCTCTGGGGCCACCGAGCCCAGCCTGGGAAAGCCCCTTGGAAGCAATCAGGACCTTGGGTTGGGGCTGCACGGGAAGGGCGGAGGCAGAGGCGGGAAACACGGCTAGACCACGTCCCCGTGTCCCGCACCCCCTCTTACCCCGGGCCGGCCCGCCCCGAGTTTCGCTCTCGCGGCGCGGGGCGGAGCGAGCGGCCGGGGTCGCACCCGGGAGGGCGCACCGCGCGGGCGGGCGACGGCGGGAGAGGGGCTGGGGCGCGAGGTGAGCGCGAAGGGGCGGGCTCCCGGCTGCGCCCTCCCCGCCCGCCGGCCGCGCCCCGCGGCGGCGCTGCCATAAATGGGGGCCGCCCTCCGCGGCGCGCGGCTTCTGCTGACTTTGGATCGAGTTTGTCCTGCTCGGGGCAGGTGCGGAGGGCGGCCCGGGCGCGCGGCCGCGCAGCGCCTCCCCGCACCGTCTCGCCGGGCGATGCCGGCGGGGCTGCATGGAGTTCCCCGGGCACGGCGCGCGGCTGCTGGGCCGCCTGAGGCGGCAGCGCGAGCTGGGCTTCCTGTGCGACTGCACGGTGCAGGTGGGAGAGGCGCGCTTCCCCGCGCACCGCGCCGTGCTGGCCGCCTGCAGCGTCTACTTCCACCTCTTCTACAGGGACCAGCCCGCGGGCGGCCGCGACACGGTGCGGCTGGACCGCGACATCGTCACGGCCGCCGCCTTCGGCCGCCTGCTAGACTTCATGTACGAGGGCCGCCTGGACCTGCGCCGCTTGCCCGTGGAGGACGTGCTCGCTGCCGCCAGCTACCTGCACATGCAGGACGTGGTCGCCGTCTGCAAGGACAGGCTGCGGGAACTGGACCCGCAGCCGCCGCGCCCCCTGCCCGCCGCTCCAAGGGTCCAGGCCACCCTCCCACCGCCAGCACCGCTGCCTTGCCGCTGGCAGGCCCCGGGACCGCCCGACGGGGCCCTGGACCTGTCGCTGAAGTCCGACCCGAGGCAGGGGCGCAGCCGCCCGCCGGAAGCCCAGTCGCTGGTGAAGGATGAGCCGGTGTCGCTGTGTGAGCAGCTTGACGGCGGCTGTCCCGGGACTCCTGGCAGCCCCCGGCGGCCCCCAGCTGCTCCTGCAGCCCAGGGCGCCCCCGTCGCCAGCGGCGCCCACCGCCAGGAGCAGAACATCAGGACCCCGGGCAGCCAGGAAGGGCACCTCTGCATGTGTCCACTGTGCTGCCAGCTGCTGCCCAGCGCCCGCATGCTGCAGCTGCACCTCAGCGCCCACTTCCGTGAGCGAGACGGCGTCCGCGCCCGGCTCCCAGCCCGTGGGGCGGCACCCACGTGCCCGCAGTGCAGCAAGACCTTCTCGTGCGCCTACACGCTCAAGAGGCACGAGCGAACCCACTCGGGGGAGAAGCCCTACACCTGCGTGCAGTGCGGCAAGAGCTTCCAGTACTCGCACAACCTGAGCCGACACGCTGTGGTGCACACGCGCGAGAAGCCTCACGCCTGCCGCTGGTGCCAACGGCGCTTCACGCAGTCAGGGGACCTGTACCGCCACGTGCGCAAGTTCCACAGCGGCCTCCTCAAATCCCTGCTGGGGTGATGCAGTTCCTGGGGCTCTGGGGCCGGGGCAGGGCAGGTGGGGGAGCCCTGGCGCGAGGGTGGGGGGCTCCGGAGGTGAAGCCTGTGGGAGCCGCCATCTGGGTGGGGCTCCGACCTCCCTCCCTAACACTAACCCTGGCCTCTCACCCCAGGCTGGCTCCTCTGCTCTGTCTCCCAGCCCAGCCTGGCGGTGCCAGCTCTGTCCTGCTCCCAGCCCCTGCAGCCAGATCCTCAGACCTCCCTGGTTGGGGTCCCCTGCAAGAACTTTCCCTGTCTGCTCTGGCACCTGAGGGTGCATCCTCGGGGCCCCTGACCCAGGCCAGGGAGGTGGCTGGCATGTGTTCCTGGTGGGCAGTCCCTGGTGTCTCAGCAGGAGCCCCTTCCTGGTTGGCTGGGAGCGGGGGCGAAAGTGAGTATCAGCAGGGGGGGCGGCTGGGCACAGATGGTATCCCTGGAGGCGCAGCCAGGACAAGGGAGCTAGCCACGGGCTGTGCAGCCCCAGGGGCAGTGTGACTGGCATGGGATGACGGGCCTCGGCCACGAGCAGTCCCTAGCACCCGTAACCTCAGGGGAGCCAGAGAAGTGGGGTCTTCGCAAGTGGCACCACACATCTATTATGGGAGCGGGTGGGCCATGCTGCTCCCCTGCCTGGGCCAGGACCGTGGCATCCTGAGAGTCCCCTGGGTGATCAGAGAATGGCCTTGTTGGTGGCAGGGCTGAGGGGCTGACCATGGGGCACTGTCCTGTGGGCAATGGTGTCCTGGAATCCCATTTACCACATGCGGTGTATGCAGGGCCGCCTGTCCCCATGGAGGACACCTACATGAGCAGCGTTCCTGCCTCACCTGCACGTGGCTTCCAGGGGCCCTGGAGGGGCAGCCCAGCTGCCGGTCAGGGTGGGGAGGGGGAGGAGAAGCAGGTGACAGACCCCCACCACAGGCCCCCACCCCCATGGCTCAATGCTGACAACACCCAGTGTCCCTGTTTATTTTCTGCCAGGTGAGTCTGCAGGGAAAGGTAGGTGGCCTCTCCAGGCTCTAACACCCCTGGGTGACATGCAGGGCTCAGGGGCCTGCACCAGCTGCAGCCCAGAGCGCACCAGGACCCTGCACCACCCTGGGCACAACCCAGGCTCCCCAAGCTGGACTCAGTCACTGTCAAGGAGCTGGGGCAGAATGGTCAGAGCGGGTCTGTGTGCCCGGCCTCCTGGAGGCACTGGTGGCAGGGGGCGGGGCCGTGAAAGGACCCCTGGCTGGCCCAGCTCAGGTGTCCGTCCCAAGGGGCCCTGCTCCCTCTCCTGTGGCAGGCAGCCTGGGCTGGCTCAAAACTGCCAGCCTCACCGCCCCAGTTACTCCCCACTGTGTTGGCTCAGAGGCGCAGGCGTTGGCCCCACAAATCCCAACTGTGGGGCCTCCTCCCAGCCTCTCCCCCTTTCTTTGTTTATTTCTACCCCAGCCTGGGGCTGGAGCCGAGCAGGTGGCTGAGGTGACCCTCCATGGGCTCTTGGCCTCTGGAGCAGCCTTTGTCTGCGTCCCAGCCGGGACAAAGCACACTGCTGATGGGAAGCAGGTCCAGCTCCCCTCTCAGGACAGGAAGGGGCTGGACCTGCTGGAGGACCCCCCGAGCTGCTACCTGAGAGTTCCTCTGGGTCCCTGGCTCCCGAGGCTGCTGCCCGCATGGCAGCCAGCCTCCCCCTGAACTGTACCCAGGCCACTGTCCCACAGGGAAGTCTGCCAGCTCCTTGGATCCCCCATCGAGCCTGAGGCAGCCCAGGGGTGGGGCTGCAGCCGGCCCCTTGCCTGGGCAATGTGAGGCTGGGACTTCCTCCCTTGTATAAATGTAGTCCTGTCAGTCCACAGCGCCCTCAGTCCCAAGAGGACAGGGTCAGAAGGGCTGCCCACACCAGGGCGCTCTCAGGGGACTGCAGGTGGCAGGCCCAGGCCGGGGATGCCCTGGACAGGGGGCTCTGGTGGGGGGGTGGGGAGCTGCCTGTGCACAGTTGTTGGGGGTGATCCAAGAGTCCCCAGAGCCTGCCTTCCTCTCGCTCCACACACACCTGGCATGCTTCTCCCCCACCACAGCCAGTGGCCCCCAACCTTTGCCTGGGGTCATGTGTTTGTACCTTATAGGGCTTTCGGACAAAAGGGGTGCAGAGCGGACGCCAGGCTCTGCCCTGGGCACCACAGCCTCCCCCTCAGCCTCACTGTCACCAAACCTAGTCCCTGCTGCCCCACCCACACCAACTCCCCCATCGCCTCTGCCTCGTCCCCTTTGTGGAAGAAGTCCCTGGAAGCTGACCCTGGCCCCAGAGCTTCACCCCCTTCTCGTTGAGGCTGGGGGTGCGAGAGATGTTCTTTGCCTCTCTGCAGCCTTCCAGTTCCTGGGGTGCCTCCCCTGCCCCCAACCCCAACTGGGAAAAGGAACAGTGCTTCTGCATGACAGCAGCATGGACCCTGGTGCACAGCGCTGGAGCAGGATGGGGTGTGTGGATGCCTGGCCACAGGCTGCCTGTGTCCACAGACACGACCATACACCCACATGGTGTTGGGGGGAGATAGGCTAACTGTCGCCAGACCCCTTGGGAAGGTCTGTAGGTGGGCACAAGGTGCTGGGCCTGGGGGCTCCCCCTCCCCACCCAGCCCCAGGTCTATCAACAGAGCCTGAAGGAAGTCGAGGAATGAGGCTGGGGCCCTTCCCAGCCTGGACCCTGCGGGCAGTCGAAGCCACTAGCTCCTGGGCTCAGCCTCGGGCTCTTCTCAGAGGCCTTGGCTGTGGAGGCAGTGTCCCTCCCTTTTGCCTTCTCCTCTGCCCTCAGTGGACCCACCAGGGCCTGGACTGTGGGCAGTCAGAGGTCCCTTGCCACCTGCCCTTCTGCAGACCCTGTGGTTGCCAGCAGGAATGGGGACAGAATGGCCCTACCACCAAGCCAGAGCAGCCATTCTGTTCCCTTTTCTGTCCCCGGCGCTGCCCCCTCACTCACTGCAGGCTCTGGCTGCAAGTATCTGGCCCCTCTGTGTACCCTAGCCCCATGCTGGGCATGCCATGGGCACCAGGCCAGCGTCACCCATGCCATCCCCTGTCAGTGCTCACAGCTATACCTCCCACTGTCCCTACCCTTGTGCAAGGCCACCCCGGCCTGGCTGTCCTCCCCTCACTCCCTGATCAGTCCCAGAACCCCACTGCCTGAGACATGGAGCTCTCCTGTCTGCTGCGCTCCCAGATGCCCGCTGTGCCAGGCTGCCCCCACAGTTGCCTTCCCTGCGGCCTGAGGTGGTCATGGGCCAGGACCTGGCGCACAGCCCTCTCTGGTGTAGGGTAGAGGAGGCTCGTCATTTCTAAGATTTATTTATTTATTTATTTGAAAGAGTGACAGAGAAGGGGAGAGACAGAGCACTTTCATCCACTGATTCACTCCCCAAAAGGCCACAGCAGCCAGAGCTGGGCCAGGTTAAGCCGGAAACTCCCACGTGGATGCCCCTTCCTCTGCTGCTTCCCCAGACACCTCAGCAGGGAGCTGGGTGGGAAGTGGGGCAGGCGGGCCTCAAGCAGTGCCCACAGGAGATGCAGTGCTTCAGCCCACAGCACCAGCCTCCTGGCAAGACCTTAACACCCATGGTTACATGCCACCTGCCCCTGGGTCACCATGGGACACTGCACTCCCACTGCTGCAAGAGGAGGAAGACGGATCTGTACACAGGGGCTTCATCCCAGTGAGGCTGCTGGGCCGGGGATCCCACCATGCTGGTGGTGGGAAAGCCAGGGGACAGTGTCAGGGAGCCGGAGAGGGCCAGGGGGTCAGCTGGTGTCAGGATACCCACATCTGATCTACTCCGGCCACCTACATGGGGTACTGGAGGGAGCTCTAGGTCCCCAACCTCTGCCTCGCCCAGGCCCCAGCTGGTAGGATCTCTCTCTGCCTCTCACAGACACAAACAGGTAAATACATGGGAAACGACAGGGGGCTGCTCAGAAAACGGCAACCTCAGCCAGGGACACTTGCAGATCAGCACACCACTGAGGAGGTTGCTGCCAGCCAAGCACCCTAGTGGCCTCGCCTCGTCAGCCAGGACCGGCACTTCTTGCAGCCTTGCTGGGCTGCCCATGCCAGCTGTCCACTTGCAGAGCTGCACAAGGGCACTGTCCCTGTCCCCAGAGACCAGCCCTCTCTGGTGGGCATCAGCGGCGTGTCATCTCCACGGCCTCCCTGGCCAGAAGATCACTACATGGGGGAATTCAGGCCTGTACTAACTTCAGTGCACCTCACTGCAGAGCAGGGTCCACGTGACAGGCTCCCCAGTGCCCGGACAAGGCACCCGCGGTGCCCTTGGCAGTGGTCAGAACAGCCAGCACCGATGCAGCATGCTCCACGGTCATGGACCAAGTGGGTGGACAAAGTGTTTGAGGCTTCCAGACTCATGTCCTGGGCGGGACCCAGAGTGAGGGAAGACTGGAAGCCCTGCCCCCAGCCTTCCCCCACTCCTCTCCCACTGCCAGGCCTGTGGACCACCCCCTCACTCCTGCTGCCTCGATCTGCAGAATTCGGACCCGTGCCTGGTGCCCCTTCCTGTCTGACCAGTGCACTTGCACTCCCAGGTGGCTTGACCTGGCACCCCTGTGCTCCGGCAGGTGCTCCCGCGGGATGCATGGAATCCCTCTGTTCTTCACGGTAAATAAAAGACACCCCAGACACACCGCCGTTCGGAATCCCTCGGGGGGCGTGTCCACTCATGGCGGCAGCACGTGGCCTCAGCCCCACGCGGGAGGCTGTGACCGAGCCGGTGTGTGCTGACAGCCCAGCAGCCTCGGGGTACGAGGCCCCGCCCGGCTTGGCCAAGGGGCGCAGGGTGCGCCGGGCCCAGCCTGCCCGCACTCGGGTCGCCCTCGGCCTCCGCCCGCTGCGGACACCCGGAAGCGCCGCGCCGCGCCGCGCACGCGCACTCCGTCGGCCTCCCCTCCCGCGGGAGCCGCACGCGGTGTTGCAGCCGGCGGTCCCTCCGGAAG